TGGTCTATAGGAGTCTAGGCCCATTTCCATAGCAAAGGGCCTCAAGGTCTGGTTGCCTGTCACGGACCATAAGATTCTCCATTTCCATAACAATGCTCCTCAGAGTGCCAAGTTACCGTTAGCCCACCTGGCCTCGGATCTCCTGCTCTCCCCTCAACAGCTATGCAGCCACCTCCGTCCATGAGCAGAACGGCTCAGGTTGGGTTCCCCGGAACCCATTCCTGTAACATGGATGTTCCCTCTGGGTCACACTACACAACTCTAGGAGCTGTATAGTTGTGGGCATGTGACCCATTCCTTTATATAGCAACCATGCGGGGAGATGAGACCTTTACCCTTCTTCTCATCTCATGCCCCACATAGGCAAGTGTACATATTTCACTTTCTTTTACTATACATCTGTAAGGAATGCCCTGCTATAAATAACATACAACACATGTAATTACATATATAAATGATGCAGGGTATGATGAATGGAGTTATACTCCTTTCCTCTACCTCATTGAAATATAGCTCTATTCAAGCTTATATCTTTGACGGACTTGAGGAGTGAGGAGATACAAGGTTGGCACCTACACCGACCTTACACTTTTTTAAGCTTCTTAGGCTATATTCTCACAGGCGTCGCTGCACGCACTATTCGTGTGTGCTGATCACTTGTGCGAAGTGTTGGCTCCCTCATGGGGCAAGATGCCAACAAAACCAGCAGTAGCTGGTCAATCTGCCTTCTATGACATGGAGTCTAGAAGGGTGGCAGGTTTTCCCACTGGCCTGCATAAGGCCAGATTTGCGCACAAAAGCACGTATGATTCCATGACCAATCCAGCCAATCTTAATCAGATCGGTGCTTCTGACGCATCTGGGAGACCTTCCTGGGTCCCTTACATGCCTCTGCCTGCCCCAATAAGGTGTACTGAGGCGACCAATAGGTCCGCATTAGGCACTGTCACATCATGTTCTTCAAACCGTGCGTGGACGTTCCCAGACGTGCACCTACACACCACTCAGTGGCAACCTGGCAGCAGATCTCCACCAACTTTCGAAGATCTGTGCAGGCTGCTAGGGCCTTCAATGACCTCTGAAGAGTTTCGAGGTTGTTTGAAAAGATATTTTTCCAAACCGGGTGCATCATTGTGTCAGGGTCATGCATGCTCGCAACAAAGGATGCCCCCAAAACCAAGTTGATAGCAAAGCTGGGGGACATGCCCATGCCAGCAAAGGATGTATATGTACATGGTAGAGACGGTAACTAGCCAACTAACTAATAACCGGTAGGAGTGGATCAAAGATGATAGAAGATCACATGGCATCATAACCGATACCGTGTGACTGGATCAAATAGAAGATCAGAAGTGGAAAAGAAGAAGAACCTGATGGGGATATGGGCCATGTGGTGCTGCGCTACTTACGCTAGCAACCCAGAGATGTGCCCTGACACATTGGCATGCCTTCTTTCCAAAGGCTTGCCAACTTCCACCTCCCCTACCTCCTGAGCTTCCCTCTCACTCCGAGAGGTCAACAATGGTCCGTTCAACCATCTTCTGACTGGTTTCACGTTGGAATAAGGACATCTCAGCATCTGCTGAGTGCCCGCTGTCTGAAGTGCCCTGCGCTTCGTCTTTTTCTGGGCTGGTTAAATCCCCAGCCCATGCTATCTCCTCTGGTTCTGAGAGGTCTAAGACAGTTTACTCAACTGTCTTCCATCCTGTTTCATGCCAGAATGGGGGCAGCTCAGCTTCTGCTGAGTGCCAGCTCATCGATGTGCCCTGCACGTCGATTTTCTCTGGAGCTGTCAGATCTCCAGTCCCAGCCTGTTCCTCTCGTTCCGAGAGGCCAGAGACAGTTCCTGTGACCACTCCCCCACCAGTTCTAAGTGGAGAAAATCGCTTACCAGCCCAAGCTGGGTGCCAGTTCATGGAGCACCCACGTGCTTTGACCTTTTTGGGGTCACAGTGCCCAGTGGTTCCTACCACTGCTCCTGTGCAACTACCTCCATCCATACATGTAGGAACATGCCATGAAGGCCTAATTGCCTTTGTGTTATACTTGTCTATACACTGAAGAGTGGAGGCCTAATTGCCTTCGCTTTCATTGTTTATTTTGATTTGTTCCCGATAAGTCGGGAATGTGGAGGCTTCTTCACCTTTACTTTACTTTTCTTCTTTTTGTTACCCTTCCTTTCTGTGCGATATTTAATATCGCAAGGGAGGAGGATGTAAGGAATATGTATTGAAGCCACATTACATCATGTATATACAAGTATATAAGATGTGCGGGTAGGAGGAAAGGCAACCCAGCCTTTACTCCCCCGTTAACAATATAGCTCATTAAAGTGTATTTGTGTGATGGACCGGGAGTGTGAGGCGCTTATAACCATGCACTTACAACATCTCATGCCCCACATAGTGAGGACAGGTTAGATGGGGGTTGAGGTCAGGGAGCCTCTGAGTCCAAGGCCAGGCCCTGACACTCAGCCAATTATGGCTGGCTCAAAGGTGGTGATCATACAGCTCAGGTCCTACTCAGACTGGGGAGTACTGTACTCACATGACCAACAACCGGTTCCCACAGTCTCCGGGAATTGCCGGAGGCACCCAATCAATTCAGTTGTGTTGATTTTTAATTCAATCCAAGACCTTCGTGTGACACGTGAAATGACCGGTTGTTGGTCGTGTTAGTACAGTAATCGCGATGGATACTTCACAAGTGATGGTGTAATTGAACAAGCATCAAACGCAATGCGGATCTTGACAGAGCATTACCCCAATGACCATCATGTCTTGGTCTTCAATAATGCATGTACTCACTCCAAACATGCTGAAAATGCCTTGTCAGCACTCAAGATGCCAAAGGGTCCTAAGCCATGGGGAGTATTGGTGAATGCACATGATGAGAGTGGTGCAATCATATACAAGCCCAATGGAAAATGTAAGAAGTGGTAACCCCACCCCTTATTTCCCATTACATAATTGTATAATTGTCTTGTAATAAACATGTATATACAAAGTACATACAATAGTGTGGGAAAGTGGAAAGAGCAACTTAGCCTTTTCCTCCCACTTCATACAAGTTAGTTTTGTTGACAGCCTGAGGAACTAGGCTAACCAGGGTTGGCACCTACACCAACCCCTTACAGAAAACCTCAAACCACAACTAAGCGTATGGCAGATACAATATGGGATGGTCACATACAACACCTTTATTACCCTGATGACCACCCTGATTATCCAGGATATTTCAAGGGGATGGCCAAACTCTTAGAAGAACAAGGCTATGATGTCACTGGGCTCCATGCTCAGTGTGACAGGTTCAAATGCAGTGGCATGGCAGCACAATGTTGCTGCCAAAATATCCTTTTTCATTCTGCTAATTTCATTGATATCAAATCCCTGCTTCAGACACACTGTGAAGCTGCTGGGTTTGGCATCCTATTTCTTCCAAAATTCCATTGTGAGCTTAATTTTATTGAGCAAGTGTGGGGGTATTCAAAGCATGTTTATCGTGAGTTCCCACCTTCTTCAAGAGTCAAAGATGTCAAACTAAATTTACAGAAAGCACTGGAATCTGTATCAATCACATCAATGCACAAGGAAACCTTTTATTTTTTCATACTTTCCAGATAACATTAATTCTCAGGTTTTCAAATCGCTCATTGCGATACATGGATGGTTATTGCCATGGTGTCAGGGACACGTCCGGGGTAGAGGGGGTCCGGATGTACCACCCGGCAGAAGGGCCCTCACAGGGTGCGAACCAGGTGTGCGTACTGGCAGGTCCGGGAAGGGACAGCAGTCCCTGGCCACTTAGACTGAAGTGGAGAATGTGAGAAGAAGGTTACTTCTTCGGTTCCCACTTCAGGTACATTTATGTACATGCGGCTTGAGTCACATGACGAGTGCCACGTCACCCTCGGAGACAGCCGCAGGCATCCGGGTATCCCCATGGGGGATCCCGAGAGCGTCCGCTGCATGCGCGTGTGCTGGGCACAGCGGGAAGCCATCCAGGGTGTGTGGGCCAGACGGGTCAATAGTACATTGATACAAAGGAAGGTGGTCCGTGTAGATAGAAGGAAATAAACAAGAAAGGGAAGATGAGAGGAATGAGATAAAGAAAGGGGAAGAAAGAGAGAAAGGAAAGGGGAGGAGAGGGAGGAAGGAGGAGGGAGAGGGTTGGACAGTGGGGAGTGGGTGTGGTGTGGCCGGGTGGGTCCGGGTGGACCCGGGTCAGGCAGGTGTGCCCTGACACATGGGTTGAATGGTTGTGAGACTGCCTGGGCAGTAAAGAAATACAAAGGGCATCATGGACTACCACCTGAAGCAGTACATGAGGTTTATCAAGAATTCTCAGCCAAAGGACATGTATAAAGTACATAAGTAATTTCAAAAGAGACAGCCAACTCCACCTAATTACATAACCAGCTATAGAGAATAAATATTTTCCACGTGACCTTGCAATGACCAGAAATATTTGCCGCTCACGACCTGCACTGCCACATTCGGATAATTCCGGATGGTAGTATTTTTCACTTTTGTATTCATTTCGGACTACTCCGCTCCCAAACTACATGGGAATTTCCATTCATTCAATTCCTTTTTCCCTCAGTTCTCTTTGCTTGAGACTGAGGTTAGTAACACCACATTCTTTAGTTTCATTCTCTGTTGCTTGAGACTGAGTTGCCACGCTTTACTAGCAATTCAATCCCGCGCTCACCTCATGTATGTGGCCTTCGTGGATAGGTCCGAAATGGCCAAGAGAAGTGTGACTTGTGGGGACAAGTCACATGGTCTAACCGGTCGGACCAACCTTCCGGCAACGTCCGGAAGAGGTCCCACACTAGTGCCTTTGGGCACTATATGCGCTGCCCTCCAACAGATTTTCTTCGAATTTTTGTGTTCTCATTCCGTTAACATCATGTTCCCACACTGTGCGCAGGACAATGTCCTCGGAATTTAAGCCTCCTCTTTGACCCGATCACCCATTTGATATCTTTTTATATAGCGCTCCTTTTCTCCTGAACAGGAACTTATTGTGTTACAACGGATTTGATTTATCCCGATCGTACCTTACAGTATTGGCCTTTGCGCACAGAAAAGAAAAATCAGAAGATAAAAGCAACCTTGTAAAAATGAGGGTTACGATGAAAGTAGAGATGGATGAAAATCAACAACAAACCAACCCAAACCAAAAGTACGCGAATGGGAAGTGCCATGGAGTTAGAACGCACAGGTTTCGTTTCCCGAATAGAGTGAACCAATCAATGGCGCCCGCATGAAATCCTCGAGCGTCACGTCGTCGATTCCCGACGGCAGAGGGACGCTATTGGGAATGTAGTAAGGGTAGAACACATCATCCATCGCGACCATCTCTGAAGGGTCTACGGGTCTCATGGCGACGGTCCAAGATGTCCCCAACAAGGAGTTGAAGGAATGGGTCATGGATGGGAGTTTTGGAGAGGATTTTAAATACGACACCAGGGGGACTTCAAGTGACGTGACGGGCTGCTTGCAAAGTTCAAGGTCGGATAAGTTAACCGTTGCTTGTGCATCATAGTGAAGGCCCTTTTCGCAGCGAGAAGAGGGTTCGAGGGGGTGCTGAAGGGTTGAAAGGGGAGAAATAGCAGGATCCGGCGCTAGAAATAGTTGTTCTGGGCATGGAGGTGACGTGGGGGGACACGAGAGCGTGGATGTACCCGGCACTGTCGAATGATACAAACTGGGGTTTTGCTCTGAGATTGCGGAGAGAAGTTGGTCCATATCCAAAAGGGACATTTCGGGGAAGTATGGAGGTGTTTGCGTGGGGGAAAGCGGAGTTGTCGCAACAACGGTCGTTGGGGTGTCAACTTCTGTAACATCCGATGGCGTCGACTCGTGAACTTTGAAAATGTGTTGTTGAAGGACACCTTTTCGCTTGAATCTGTGATGCAACCATTATTTAAAAGTCCTTCTCAGGTAATATACACACATGGCGTACACTTTGGCACAGAATGTGCATTTGAACGATTCCGTGCAAGGGGTATGCTGTTCCTTCATGTGACGACAGCGAACCGAACGATCGGCGAATGTCATCGCACAACCAGGAGAGTTGCAAGGGAAGGGGCGATCGCCAGTGCTAAACCAAACATTGGTCAGAAAGGTCAAGATGAGAGGTGAAGCGAGCTCACTGAGTGTTGACATGAGTATCCCTCGCGCATTTTTGAGCAAAGCCTCTGCCGCAGTATTTGCACGTGTAGCTCCTGAAAGTTCCATGAAGTCAGCTTGGAAATGAACGTAACTTGGTATTTATCACGTACTTGAGACGAAGATGTACATCTCTCACGTGTCGGGCGACGTCGCTCACGCGCGTAAACGGCGTACTAGAGCAGCCTTCCCAAGTACAAGGTATCTGGAGAATGAAGCCCTCAAGTCTAAGTAATTTGTATCAATCCGAAAATTATGGGCGACCCACTTTTGGGGTATTAGTATGGGAAACATATGATCCCGAACGAGCCGAGGACACCTCAGATCGACGATTTCGAGTAGGGGGCATTATAGGCGAGTAAAGTAGGAACAGGGTCAACCAGTGAAGGGGGCAGGATGGCGAACGAAGGGTGCGAAGGGAAGGGTTGTGGAGGATGACATGGTGGGCATTTTAAGCAACGATGAAATTGAGGCAATATCCCCCAAACCCCGCGGCCGAGGGATTCGATTCGATCGAAATCCAGAAGCGTCACTCCAGTGAATGGACGTCGGAGCGTCGCGCATCGGGGAAAAGGCGCACAAGACGAAGATCAGAATCACGACCAGAAGCCACACGCGCCTCAATGCGGTTGAATGTTAGGCAGGCACGACAAAGGGTGCCGTTCAACGTCGTTGCGTATAATGTTTCAAAAATCTCGTTGGTTCAAGGGACTGAAACATATTTCCAAATATGGCCCATCGGAAATAACCGCAAACTAAGCACCTTTTAGGTTTTCCATTCATTAGATTCGATATTTATAGGTCGGACGCGGACACGAATTTCCGTTACATTCAAAGGTGGAGCCAGCAAACAGGTATAAACAAAGCGCCGACGTATGGGAAATCCCAAAATAAATCGACCGCAAAACTCACCCCCCCACAAAAGATGCTAACACGACGCGTTGTTACTTTTAAGACAGACCTGAGCCTTTATTCTTTCTCGCAATTTCTATTCGATCCTTCATTTTTTGCCTCGCACTTTCCATGGCGCCTTCCAGCCTGCCAGACGAAGCCATAGCCAAAAGTAATGCGTGGATGGTACGGAGATGATTATGCCGACGGAGAGAATTCTCGAACTAATTTTGGACAATCGGTAATGGGAGGTTATGAACAAAACCCTGGGGAAATAATAACGATAATATACCTTCCATCGCTCCCTCTTTTCGTTCTCTAGTGCTATTTGTTGGGCCAAGGCAGATGCATGATCTGCTTGATGCTCGGCTTGAGCTTGTTCCAGTTGCCCCTCTAATTTCGGTATCGGATCGTCCCGAATAGCAAGTAAATTGAAATGCAACTGGGTCACCGATACGAAGCCGAGGACCAAAAGGGGATAAGTGATGTAGGGTTGGTCATCACAAAGAAAAGTCAATTAAATGTGAACGGAGTTGTCGCTCCGAAGACTCACCGATCCAGCTGGGTATGTCGCAATCCTCGCCTCGATCACCTCTTTGGCTTTGGGAGTCCAGCCTTCTGGGCCCTCAGAATACGCAACATGTCTGACTGGAGAGCGCTTTAGCCCATCTAATTCGTATATGTATCCTCGATGAGGGAGATACACGATAAAATGATAAGCATCTCCAGATTTCTCTCGTTGGATATCAAGTTCAGCCAGTGAGATGGACGGCGGAGGTGAGAGAGAATTATGTGCACTTCTGAAAAAATTATCCGAGGTTATGACTTCCCCTCGCGTCTAAATTGGAATAGGCGGGCGAACCCTTGAGAAGTTAAGAGCCTTTTCTGGTCGTTTGGGAGAGTCAGGTTGATTTAGGCTGACCTGGGGGTCCAAAGCACCAGAAAATTCCTTTAATTGCTCTATCTCTGTTCCAACTTTGAGACCTTCTATATTACATATTCCATTTATCACAGCAATTGTTGCGCATGCATTATTCACGACCTTGAAAGGACCAGTGCGCATCAAATGAATGGAAATCTAAAATTATAGACAAACGCAAGTTATCGTACCTGGTTAGCGAAGAATCCAGTAAATTCATCATCATATTCCCCCCCATTGGTACTTGCAACACCGCTCTCGCCGCTCCCAATCCACTTGAAGAGGAAGATAAATGCGTGAACTGGCTGAATTGCGGCCAGTGACTCCGCATCGAGCGAGTATAGGTCATCCACCGTTAATGGGACACCAAGTGTGCGAAGGAGCTCATCGAAAACACCTGGGTCTGCAACGATTCCCAAATTCGAATATAAGAACGTGCTACAATGAAAAACCTAGACTGTGGCAACGTACCAGACTCCATGGTCTGCCAGCCGCTCTCATGTTCCTCATCGGATGCCATATGGGAAACTAGCACCACTGTATCCCTCCTGTTGAAGCAGAAATGTTTTAATGCGAGATTGCGAGATTGGAAGTGCCCAACAGGGCTTCGTAGCGGTTCCTAAGCCCCACAACCTTTGCGTGACGCGTCAGGTTGCACCTTATTTGCATCGGCCTCGACATCAATAAAACACATTTAAGATTAATCCCGTGCTTTGGTCGCTGCTTGGCAAGACAAGCTGACTTCGTCTCTCCCCGCATCACTGGACATTGCGGAAGAACGACCGAGCTTTATTTTATGTCACAATATGTACCTCTACCCACTGAGAATGATGCGGAGTTGTCGGCGCATGAGACCCCACTAGACGAAGACTCAGCCCTGCAGCATGAAATGCAGATAGAGTTGGAACCTTCCATATTTCCAAAATATCATCACCGGTCTAATTCTGTGGCGAGCTTGACGGTAGAACAGCGGAGACGGAAGTGGTGGAGGGATGGTGTGACAAATCTCTTATTTATCCTGTCATGGTGAGTTCCTTATCGCTGTTAGAGTTTGGATGAAACGTAAACGCATATTCTTTGCCTTCAAGGTATGTGTTCGCTACGCTACTATCATTATACAACAAAGTGTGCCCTCTCTATATGATTGCGAGTGGACTACATAGACACTTACATCAACCCTTTGCTATTGCCAGTGGATGTTCGGACCTAAATACTTTGGTTTTCCTAACCCCTTATTTGTCACTTCCGTGCACATGTTCGTGCAGTTCAGTCTTTCTGCAGTTTTGCGAAGGTTTTGGCCAAGGCAGTTCAAGCCCAAGCATCAGCCCACAGCAGAGGAATATGGGTGGGTTGTACATACGGATTATGCTAACCTGCTTGAGTGAATTACAACTTGCTGCAGAAAGAAAGCTGTGCCCTGCGCGGTCGCCACTGCTGGTGACATCGGTTTTTCAAATTTAAGCATGAAGACGATCACTCTGTCCTTTTATAGTATGACACCACCGCTTCCACTTGGATATAGTACTTATGTATCTTCGTAATAGCTATGTGCAAATCCTCCTCTCTCATCTTTGTCCTAGCCTTCGCCTTCCTGTTTCGCCTTGAAAGCTTCTCATGGCGTTTGATAGCCGTCATTATGATCATCTTCACAGGCGTCGTCCTAATGGTGGCCACAGAGACACAATTCGAACTCATCGGCATGCTACTCGTTATCTCGGCTTCAGCACTAGGTGGACTCCGATGGGCACTTACTCAGATCCTGCTGAGGAAAAAGGGATTGGGAATGGATAACCCTGCAGCAACTGTATTTTGGCTCGCGCCTCCTATGGGCGTTACGCTTGTATTCCTGAGCGGGCTGATCGAAGGATTTGGCGTGTTCTGGGAAAAGGCCTTTTTTGGTGGAATTGGAGCTTCGTCAAGAACCATTCTATTCACTGTCCTCCCTGGGGTGATTGCATTCGTGATGGTCATGAGCGAGTATTAGTGAGTGGTAGTTTTGGATCGGGAACCAGAGTTCCCGCGATAATTTGAATGTTTGATAGCATCATTCAGCGTGTCGGGATGGTGCCTATGTCAATCGCGGGAATATTCAAGGCAAGAGATCTCCAGAAATTGGGTGGCTTAGTTAACGACTCGCTTTGTTTTTGAAACAGGAAGTTTCAACGATCATCCTTTCGGGAGTGGTGTACGGAGATGACTTGACCCTGATCAACATGGTGGGAGTGGGCATAACGGTTATAGGTGCGTTCATTATTTTACTTGAATCAGACTTGCGTGCGATGGAGTTTTGTGGTATTCCATGACTCGAATTTATCCAGATAGATACTTTTTTTCTTCTATTGTCGACCAACGAACTGACCCCACCTGCAGGGATTGGACTTTTCACGTATCACAAGTACGAAAAGTCGGTGTTGTCGCCTGTGCCATTGGACACGCATGAAGAAAGTGGAGGTGGCGATGAAGAAGACTTGGATGAGGCTGTGTCGGAGGAGGACGGGATATTGATGACATATCAGGTATGAGTAAGAAAGCTTGGCATCACCGAATCCTCCGTTGATGAGCACAAGCAGAGCTCAGCATCACAGCCGTTGATGAAGGGCAATTCCATTGAAGGGTAGCGCGATCTTCAAAGCTAGTTGGGTGGATCTTTTATATTTGCCTTGCATGGTGATCGTGTGTGCTTTTCGGGTATTTGAGTCGATGGCGTGTGTGAGAAAGTGATGAGTAAGAAAAGTTCTGTTGTTTATGATCAGAGAACGCGCGAGATGGTGAAAGCTGGCAATCCGTTTTGCTACGCTGTTCCTCATGGTGGACCCAAAACCCCATAGTTAAAGATGTGTCGGCAAATTGAAAGGGAAGGCTGCCGGAATCAGTGAAAACGGCTTTTGCAATGCCGCACCTTTTTCTCACGGTCCAAGTACCCAGTTTCACCTCATCTTTTCCTTTTCTCCCTCTTCCTCTTGCATCCTCCCACTTCTGCTTTCTCAGTCCATTCCGATAACCTGCGATGAGGGTACTCAACCCACTCCTTCTGCTCGCTGCCTCATCCCTTATCAAGGCCCTTCCACACGCTGATGATGGGCCTGCACCTCCACACCCAACTCACAACATGACAGAGATGAACAATAAGACTTCCACGCTATCACCCCCGCCTATGCATCACGAACCAACGGGTCATTCGCACGACCCGCACGAGCCTGTCCTCGATGAGCTGGATGAGGCAGAAATCCTACGGTTGATGGGTCCCGACCCACTTTCCTACTGGGAGTTTGACACCAACTCTACCACCGTCAATCGAACCCACGGTGACCTCATGATCGTCCACGCAGCGTCCATGTCCCTCGCATTCTTTGGCGCTTTGCCAGTTGGTGAGCACGACATTCCACCCCTTTATTGCCTTGGCCATAGTAATCCGTGCCGAGAGTTTCCTACTGAATTGCATGCTCATTTGAAATTGCCGTTCCCACGTGCAGGCATCGTGCTCCGGGCTTTTAACAATCCTCTACACTGCGTCGTTCAGACCATCTTTGTGATCCTGGTTGTATTGGGATGGCTCACGGGGTTTATTTATAATAAACTTACTCCTAGTCTGTTCGTGCAATCTTCGCCTTCTCACGAAAACTTCACACTCAGTCATTTCATAGATACCCCGGTGAGAAACATTCAGCATCAGGATATGTCACCCTGCTACTTGTGGCTGCGATCGCATCTCGAGATGTCATCGGCGTTCTTGGCCGTATCTGGACATTCTTCCGATCCGATGACTCCTTCAGCTTCAACACATTTTGGTCACAGATTATACGAGGAAAACCGCATCCGTTCAGCGTCCACTCTCCTTCCACCCTGTACACACCGTTTGAAGACTCCCCGGAGTTGAATCGACTTGTTGAGGAGCCTGACACATACGAATCAGAACTGGCCAGTCCCCATGATGCAAGCTCCCCACGCCGCGCTCACTTTGCCGATATCGATCTGTTCAAGAACACGGGGCCCGCACAGTCCAGCGTGCACGAAAAGGCACAACGTGAGACCAACATTAGCCTGTATGGGCCCTCTACACGGGCATCATACTCGCATCGTTCGCATCACTCCGAACAATCAACGAGCTCTACGTTGCACGAGGATGTTCCAGTCTGTGAATTTTCGCCTCATCATACTGGAATGAGGGCTGGCACATTTGATGGATGCGACGAAGAAGATGATGACCTTGATGCTGAATTGCAGAAGGGGAGAAGTAAATGGTCGAAGCTTATCTCTATGACTGTATACGTCACCGAATGGATTCTCGTCGCACTCGGGTTCGCCCAGCTGTTAAGTGGTGTGGCTGTTTACTCCGGTATCTGTCATGGGGGGTACCTCAACGGTTGCCTGGCTCACTTCATCAGTGCGTCGCATTCTTATTTCTGTTTGAAATGAACATCTAATCGCGGTCCCGAATTCATTTTCTTCTTCCGGCCTCCGATCAATCTTCATTTATTCGTCCATCTATTCATCCATTCATGGACTTTTGAATGACATCATGCAGAAGGTGGAGTTTTTTTCATCTACGGCATTCTCACTTTCTGCCGCTATCTTGGAGCGTTTGCGAAATATGGATGGGCTTGGAATCGGGTCACTACCACCTCCAGGCACTTTGGCGGGCCCACAGCTGAAATGGTCGAATCCACCGTCATCTTTACTTATGGGATCACCAATACTTGGTTGGAGAGGACCGGTGCAAAGCCTGGCGCTCCCTATAGCACCAAAGAAATCCAACATATCGGCATCGCCTTAATGTTCTGGTTCGCCGGCCTCGCGGGCATGGCACTCGAATCCCGTCGTGTACGCCGTCTTCTTTCACTCTCAGCATTCTCGGACGGGTCGCTCGCGCTTCGTACGGAACCTACTTCATACACTGGCTCCTTCAATCCCTTCCCTGCTATTGTAATTGGTGTGACTGGGGCTGCGATGGCCGCTCATCATCAACGGTACATGTTCGCTGTCCAAGTCCATGCACTATGGGGCAATCTCCTCCTTGCGTTTAGTGTGCTCAGATGTGTGACGTACGTGTTCTTGTGGCTCCGTCCGCCGACGAGTGAGAGAAGCCTGTTACCATCGAGGCCGCCCAGTGAACTCCTCGCTTCTTTCTTTCTGGCATCTGGAGGCCTCGTGTTCATTTCGAGTTCGGAGCCTATCATCTTTGGAGCGATGAGACACGGTAGGGGTGAGTTGTTTTCATGCAGCATAACTCGTACGATACTCAGCAGGGCTTTGTCGTAGATGATCTTATGATGATCTTGGATGTTGTGGTTGCTATTACCTGCTTCGTCTTCACCTGGTGTGTTGTCGTACTGGCCATCAAGGGCTGGGCGCGCAATCGTGCCGCGTTGCTCATGGCTGCGAAGATGGAGCCTTCTGGTCCTCGCTCCATCCGAGCATAATCACAGGGGCCACCATCTGTAAATTGTCTCGGATAACTTAAACATTCCGAACTCAAGGGTTCGCATTCGGTCGTCCCTGCCATCGACTTTGATTCTGTATCAGAGTTGATATCCACTTGATGACGCTCTGTGCCACAGTCACCACCGTGCCGTCCACGACTACTGGTTCCCCCCGTTTTTAATTCTAATTTCTTTCTTTTTTTCTGTACAAATTTCATTGAGGCGTTCTGGGCGTCACAACATGATTCTTCTCTTAAATGTTTACGAACCCAATGACCCCCATTTCTTGCATTTTACTCCCTTCTACTAACACATTGTATCCCAATAGTTTTCTTTCTCAACACTAGAATGACCAAGATGAGCAGCAGGATGTCATATTCCAATGCCACCCCATCGGGTGAGCCTGCAGTGAATTTGGCCAATTATTCGCTGCTCGTCCACGGTTTATCCACAATATTTTCTTCCATTCCTCTTTCCGCCCTCCTTCCGTTCGCACCATGTTTTGATGTTTCTATCACTCTGTCACCACCATTCCGCAACCTTCTGATACGACGGAAGCCATGTACCTAGTGTTGTTCCTTCAAACCTCATACCAACCGTTGTTATTGAGACTCGGTGGCAAATGATTGCCCCTGCGCTGCCAGTGCGTCCTCCCGTCATCAGTGTACACCACACAGATATGCACATGACTAGTAAGAAAGGGTATCCTGAGAGAGTGCCCACGGGTTGCCCTCAGCGCCTTTCCGATGCTCAGTCATAGAAGCCACCGATTGCGAAAGAACAGTCAGCTGTGCTAGCTCCACTGGCACCGTGATAGATCAATCCGTCAAATCGCGAAGCGCAGTCAAAGAAGGCCGAACGGTTGGAAAGCTAAGATTTTCTTCCTGGCAATACCCTATTGCCTACCTGGAAAATGGGAAAAATTACGGCACACAGTGTATCTTATACGACTGGCGCCAAAAGCGATTACCTGTGATAACCGACGATGAAAAAACAATCAAGACAAACAAGATTGAGAGCGCGTGGTATCGGTGAAAGATCGCGACTCTAAAACAAACGGGGTATAATCGTTGTTAGCCATGCACGATAATATAATCAAGTGAAAGTCTCATAACTCCCCAACCATCCGTCACAGCCGATCGGCAGTCGTCGATGTTCCGACACATGGGTGAATCATATCTCTTTTTTCGCCACCATCCGCCACACCTCCGTCCTATGGATTATCTCACCCTTGCCCTGGCGTTATCTGCTCTGCGATCGCATTTGAGCTGTGTCCATTATTCTTGGTCGGAACCGATCAATTCTAATTTAATATCCAATTTCATGGGACTAATCGGGGCCGGGCATGTGCAACTCAGACCCGTTCTGCAGCTGAGGGGTGACCAACTTCCCGGGTCCTATGTAACTTGCCTCCAGCATAAGTAGCTTCTACAGGACCTGCTCGCTCGCCTTCGCGCTCGCGCTTGGAGATAACGGGTAAGCTTCCCTGGCGCGGCTTGCAACTTACACACCCTACCATGTTCCCCTCTGGTCTCGCTAGGTTATCGCGCTCTTTGTTCTTGTTCTGTTTAATCATCGTAAGCTCATTCTCATTCCTAAATACTTTGCTTGCAACTTTCTGGTTTTCAGTTCATTGTTCCATCTTGCCTGCGCACTCTATCGACATTTCTTCCCTTCCCAGCTCCTCCTTTCGTGCTTTGTTGTCCTGGAACACTTGAGTCTGATTCTCATCATAGGTCAAAGTATAACCTGGTAGCAGATGTCAGACTCAGAAGTTCTTTTCATCAAAGGCTACAAGGTTGATCTCACCAAAATCCGGGAGAGATATGGAACTCGACCAGAGGATCCGCACAATAGCAGATTTCTGACACTCTGGAAGAAATTCCCCCTCCCTTTCAAATACCTTGGAGCCGGGGATGAGCCGGGTGGGCATATCGCCTTGGTCCTGGTCCTTGAAGATGGATATGATAGAGAGGATCTCGAAGGGAGAGAAATACCATCTCTCGGTGCTCCATACGACAGTGTTTTCACCCCAGGGATCTGGGTTAATCATTAAGCAAGGTTAGTAACGACTCTAACTTCTAAAATAATTTATCCATTACAGATCGATTGAGTTAGCAACAGGCAAAGGAATCACATGTATTAATAGCAGGCAGAATGTGGTTCTCAATATTTAGTGTTGTACAACATGAAGCATCAAGCTGAAAGAGGCTTCTCACGCGGCAATACAATCAACTCGTCATTGCAGAAACCGTGGTCCTCGAACACCTAGCACGGTATATTAGGATACTAGCGATTTACGCTAGCGTGTTACGCTCAGTCAATCGTAGTTGAACTTATGGATTGAAACTAATTACCTAGCGTGTCACGCTAGGGCACATGAGAGTACATGAGTGATGAAATAAACATGTAGTAAAAGCGCGGTCTCACCTCAGTCAATCGTAGTTGAACTGAGGGAGACGAAAGGGAAAAATTGTTCACTGCTTTTATAAGCAGTCGCCTCAATAGCGCACTGACTTTGGTAGCAGGAATACATACCAAGAAAGGAAATGCAGCGCCGCAAGCTCAACATCACACTGTGAGTTGGCCACAGCGCACTATAACTCCCAAAAAAAAAAAACAAGATTTTCAACATGGTAGGGAAAATGAATGCACGTCCCTTTATTGTAACCACCATAGCTAGGATATAGAGACGAAGTGTGAAGTGTACGTGTGACATATCTCTCTATCTAACTTATTACGAAGTCACAGAGGCTGGAGTCCTGCTTAGCATATCTCGGTTATTGTTGGGCAAAGGTTGGCCAATAAGGGAGCACTGACGAGAGGATTACGCCATCCTCAATGAAAGAACGGTGATCGGCGTTGGGTTGGGGGTTGGGTATGTTTCCTACATCCTTGCACATTATAGACTCATGTATTGCCTGCGTCGTAGCTAGCGGGGCGTACAATTATAGAACTCTTACACGAGTCTGAGCTAACGGTGCATAGCCTTTTTATCTTTTAAAAACTTGTGTCTGCAGGGGTGGATTTACGAAAAATGAAATAAAGGGATTAAGGCAAAGGCAAATGAGACGTCGTGCGGGTTGGAGTGATGCTAGTAAGGCTGACGGAGTTGCTTGGTAACAGAAAGAGATGGAAATATTTCCGCTCACGAAGCGCAAATGGCACCATATAGAAACCCAATCAATAGCGCGACTTTGCAAGCAACTTGTGAGAAAACGTTGATTTGACTGTTATGTCATATTGGACAAAGAATAGATGACTTACCAAGCGGAACCATCATCATGACCATCACTGGGTCTCCATCAGGATTAATATGAAGGCTACTGGAGAAGGGAGCAAAGCGTATCTGGCTCACTAATGCACGAGAAACAAACAAGGTCAAAGGTGTCCAACAACTCAGACATTGGATCAGAGGGGGTTGTCAAGCCAGTTCTTCTGAATAAGCCAACCTCAGAGTTGCAAAGGGGAGTTCAGAGAGGACCAAGGAAATGCAAAACATCCAGCCGCAAGCATCAGCATAGACTCGAGGGTCTAAAACTCGAAGTTGAGGCGAGAGGATCATATGATCGAGTTGGTGCGTAGTTGGGATCAAATAGCGGAGTTGGTGCTGCTCCCCGAGCGCGAGTAGCAGGAGGTGGATACGGAGACAAACTCCCCTGCACTGGTAGTGGTGTTCTGCTGGCAACGGAGCAGGAGCGTTCTTGGGATGTCAATTCCTCCGTTGACAACACGTTTGCTAGAGGAGGCCGACCCGGTCGAAGTGTTATGTTCTGTTCGCAGTAGGGCGCGAGCAATTAGGGTTGGGATTGAAGGTTGAATGGTACTCGACAAGAAAGCACCCACAGGGGAGCAAGAACTAGACCTTCGATACGGTATGAAACTAATAGGCTGTTGGAAGGTTCGCGAGCCAGTGGATCCAGGAGTTTGGGTATCCAGAAGAATGTCTCCAGACGCCGCAGCAGCTTCAGCTGCTCTCGCGCTCCGTTTTCACTCACGGGCGATAATTTCGTTGGCCTCTTTAACAGCCGAGGCAGTCTCCTCAGGTGCCCTATTCGTTTTGGTAGTGTTCACGTCTCAGAGTCAGAGCTATTAGCGGAGCTTCCATTATCCCTGTCCTTTCGTGAACGCCGTGCAGATTTGTATCCGGGATATCGTCTCTGTCTCTGTCAGGTGCAATCGTCAGAACGTTGAACATGTTCAAACGGAGGCGAGAGGAATCGAGTAAGGACGAAAACCGAGCAAGACGGCGTACCATACATTCCTCCTTGAGTCGTCGAGCCTGAGCTCTTTCTTTGATAAATGTTCCAAGAGTATTCCAACGATAGCGCTTACATTTTTTGCACGGAAATTGCGATAATCAAGTCATACCACGAGCTGTGTTTTCAAACCTTCACTCACGTTGCTAGTTCTTCTTTTGAGGGTCCCCCTTCCGTACAGGTTGTTTCGCGGCCTTGCCCAACTCCGATATAGCAAAAGGCAATCGGGAGGCCGTGGGATGTTTTCTGATTCCTTAGCAGCACGACTGACAACCCTTCTAGCAGCTTGTGATTGACTCGATCTGCGTCCGCCAAAGGCAATATGCAATTGTCGTTCGAGTTGGAAAATTGGGGTCATGGAAGTTAAAAGTTCGAGGAAAGTAAAGGACCCGTGCCTGGCTGGGCGGGCTGAAGCTGGTCGGCTGTTGGTGTCCCGCTGAAGAGGGGATACAGCAGGAGACGGTATGACAGAGTGCAGTAATGTCGAAGAGGGAATCCGAATGCGGAGATTGAGGGGTTTGAGGTTTCATCCGAGGCGCCAGTTCCCTCTGAAGAAGTAGATGATTTGAGTTGCGAAAGGAACGTGGAGGGGTCGAGATTGGGCTGGAACTGGAATGGACCCGGGCCGGTATCCAGAGGACGTGAATGGCTAGAAGAAAAGTGATGCCAAGATGAGTAAATTGGGTGCTTGCGGAGAATGAGGGGATTGGGTCGTCAGTACCAGCCACCTGTAAAAATGCGACCGACTGAGCGAGTAGAGTCTACCTGAATGGAGTGTACTCTGAGCTGCTATTCTCCGTAGGTCATTGCTTGTTGGAACAATATATTGGGCGTGTTTTTTCATCCCCTATCTGAGGAGCAAACGAAAAGGTCCAGCCTGCTGATGACAATGCGTTTCTATGGCCGGTGAGGGAAATCATGTTGTTGTTCCCGTACACTGAAATCATTGTATTCGTCTCTTCTGAAGTCGTTGCAAATGGCTCAAAGATGAATGGGATGCACAGCCCGTGGAACCATTTGTACCGTTGTTCTGATGCTCGCGGAACACCTTCAGGTAACATATTTAGATCGACAAAGGGAGAACATAACGGTTTATACTTGCCCGATATAACTCTTGTGCCGCGTCCGAAACGTCGGTTTGGGAAGAACCCTGGATCACTATGCAGTGAACTATGAATCACCCAAAGAAAACCCTCGTGCAAGCACCATGGCTTCCCGAAATTGATATTTGGCACGACATGTCAGCACCATGATGTTGACCAAGTTCAGGAATAACACTCCACCTCCGGCAGCCGGTGAAGACGCTCGACAGCGATATGAGGCGCGCTTCAAAAAAAATATGAATTTCATTTTATTGCATACAGATGCGAATGCACGTTGACCGCTTCCTTCGCAATCTTGTGGCCCCTCGAATTTGACGCTTAAACCAGGAATTCTTGTTTCTCCGGGGGGATGTTCGCTCGATCGTAGTGATGATTTCTGCAGGAGGTTTAGATGTAGCCAGATATATTATATTATTGAGAAACATACCACCCAGTCCCACCGAGGTCCCATTAAAGACGGGGCTATAGATGACCTCCCAGATCGATGTTGCCTCACAAGTATATCTGGTGCACATAATCAGTGTACTGTCAAAGGTGAACGCCTCTTCCGTCTTCGAACGGACTTCCAGATTGAGCTAACCGAAGAAGCGATGCTGTTCCGCCAACCTTCAGGATCATCGGGTCTTCCTATCTGTGGGTCAGTCTAAAAGTGACGTGTTCATACCAGCCTTGTTCTCATACGCTACCTTCGATCATTGGTGTCCCCGGACTAAAGCAGACAGACGGTTGTGGTTGTGACGTTGACAAAGTTGGGAATGGCACCAGTGGATTCGCATTCTGTAACATGACAACCGAAGGGGCGGCACTAGCTGATTGCAAGGTTAGATTGCATCGCAAACCCTCATCAGTCGGTGGTATTATGCGCGCTGATGGCAGGACAGGTGCTGAGGCTGCACCCCAGCCAGTTGGCATAGCACCTCGCACCTTGGGCTAAATGGAGGATAGGCACAGGGTGTCATGGAGCCGGTAATCAAAACTGAAGGATGAGGTCAACGCAAGTGCCATAATGATTGATGGGAGTGGCTGTAGGTAGATCATGATCCTCAGGCCATTGTAAGCGCGATTTTTTCCAGAAGGTGGAAGCAGAAATGATGAGTCACGGTCCCCTATCATGTGTGGGTGAGAGGATATTTTATGCAACGCGCAATCTGAAAACTCGCGGGATTGAAACGTAGCATCAGCTTCATCGATCCAGGCTAGGCTCACAGCCACATCCCAAATGAGCCTGAGGCGGTGATGGGCTTCAGTCTACAAAAAACATCTAGAGAAACCAGGCGCTACAGATGCGCCAGGTAGGTATGGGATGTACGCAGGTGGGCGATAACGCATGCGGTCCCAGTGTGAATCACGGGTGAAGGGATAAGCCGCGCCGACGATACCCAGTCGGACATCGTTGACATAACATTGATTGAAGATCTAACGTACGGGCAGGCACACATAAAGGCAAATACTAGAATTGAAGTAGATGGCATGTTAATCTTAATGCCAGTTTGAATGAATACACTGCACATCGACTCCTCCGAGTCTGACACACACACTTGAGGAATAAAACACAGAAAGTAGGATGTCAAAAAAGGGAATGGATAAAGATTCGATACTAGCGAATCCTACGGCAGATAATAGCGCGAGATGGAGATAACACCGATCAGAATTTCTCCAAATTCTGGAGCAAGATGAAGGAGCGTGAACGATATGGGAGATAGGTACCAAAGTTGGAGGGATAAAAAGAAGAAAATAAACCAAAATGATATGTTACAAAGCGTTTCAGTAAGGGTGGACCCCGTTAGAAGAGACCCCTAAGCAAGCAAGCCTAATTGTCTAAACGGACTGGGGTGCGTCGGTAAAGAGACCAGCTCCTCCAGAAGTCGATAACACCACTGCCATTAGCAGCGAGTCAACAGGCCATGTTGTGCTAGGGTCACTCCAAGTTTCATCCACCTAATTCCCGTTCATGCGCTTAAAGCAACTCCAGCCCCAACTCAGAAAGCCTCCACTTCAATCATGGAGACTCGACGATTCCTGGATTCCATGAGAGATCCAAGGCCCCCGATGGCTCTGCGCCTGATGCGGGCAGCAAAGTTCTTCGCACCTAATTCCTCCACACCAGAGGGAGGTCCACGTGGTTGCCTCGCTGGCAATGAAATCTGGCGAATAATCTCTGTTTGCATCGCTGGTCGGCCAATGCCCAAGCTCTCGTATAACCTCTTCGATGCTTCTTCACGAGCGGAGGAAATGGAAGAAGTGCCTGAGGTGGGGGTAGCTTCCCTACTGTCATCTTCCTCAGGAGTGACGAGGACCTGCCCCGCCATCCCATCCTCAGTGGCATCATGAAGAGTACTGAGGTTGAAGTGGAGAGGCATAGGGCGCGGCTTTACTAAAAGGGTCATTTGAGAGGTACTCCTAGATTCCGTGGGACTGGTCTCCTCTGGAGTTGAGACGTAGACAGCTGGTGGCGACGAGGGAGGAGAGGATCCGCGGGTCAGAGGCGCAGTCGGACTTGGGGGACCGGATGTCGTTGAAGAACGTCTCCACGAAGCAGCGGCATCATGCTTTGCCTGGCTCGCTCCCAAGGACGTGCCTCCGCTAATGACAGTCGTCTGACACTGACCGCTCTGCACGGTGGGGACTGTGTTCGACACCGACCTCCAACTATTCGACGTGACACTGGCGGTAGCGGACTCGCCCATCTTGAACGCAGCAGCATTCGGGTTGAGGCTGGATGCCGCGCGGCTTGTGGGGAACCGGCTGTCGAGAGCAGACGTAGGAGGGGCGATGTTGTCCACATTTGTGCCAGAAGCATTGCGGGAACGTGCCAAACTGGGGAGACTGAACACCGAGGGAGTGGATCCGGCAGTCGTAGGTTCTGTGGTACGACGGCGGGGGAGCGAAGTTTGCTGGAGCTGCTGTTGCAACTGGGCCTGTGCAAGCATCTGAGCTTGAAATTGCTGTTGTTGCTGTTGTTGCAATGCCTGAAAGGAAAATGAGCCATGGCTAGTCAAGGCCAGTTCGAACCATGGCATACCTGAAGCTTGAGCAAGTCAATTTGCAGCTGAATGGTCTGTGGGTCAGGGGAGACACCACGATTTGCATTGGCTTGTCCAACCAAAAAGGCGCGCTGCATCGCCTGCGCTTGCATTTGAGCCTGTAGAAACACGGCTTGGGCATGTTGCTGTTGCATATTGACAAAGTTACCACCGTCCAAAACTGAAGCAGTCATTGGCGCCCCAGGCGGCAGTGTATCAAAAGAGTCGGAATAAAACTGGTCAGAGCCTTGAAATTCAACGACGTTGCCCGACACGAAGGGAGAGGAATGACGAGGGAATTGACCGCCAATAGCGGCTGTCATGGGTGCATTTGGGATCTGACCAGGGTTCGAAACCGAGCGAACACCACCAGTGCGGAGGCCAGCGAGGAGGGAAGCGCGATGATTTGACATGTTGAAAGAGAACGAGGAAGCCCGAAACGACTTGATTTTACAAGAGATATTTAGAAAGCAGACCGCCGGTAACTAATACGCGCAGAGATGATTGGTAGGAAGAAATTTGAAGACTGCAAACAGAGTGAGGTAGGGGGAGGCGTATGTGTGAGTAAAAAGCGAGGCCAAAACTTGTCGCCTGTTGGAGACGCACAACAATATTATTACTTGAAGTGAGCTATAGGATGATCTGAGATGGAAAAAGTAACGATGCGGGAGAGAGACACAGAGAGACAGAAAGACAGAGATGGATGGGTGGGATAGGAGATGGGAGGACGAAAAGGTGAGGGTAAAAAGGAGATGAAAACTGACGGATTTTATCCACCTTAACTCCGAGTTCGACTGAATTTCAACGATGAGGCTGGTTGTTGTCCTCGAGACCATCGCAACAAAAAGAAGCCTGGAATTAAATTAAATCCAGCGAGCGCCTGATCAGGTTCGGGCGCCGTCTGACGCCAACAATGGCAACAACGACGATAACCGTCTTAGGCATCCTTTTTCATTGATGATTGATGACGACGAGGGAATTGGAGGACATGTTGATCATCATTCGCGCGGGTGATACAACACTGGTCATGTCGGCGTTGTTTTGTAAGGACTGGCGCGTATTTCATCGTCCGTTTGACACGCATCGTGTTGTCCGATTCAGCCAGCCTGCAGCGCCAGATCATACAACATGTAAATGTCCGTCATCATCGTCCTTCTGCTTGTTCGAAATCATGTACATATATGCATTCACAACCACCCACACCAATATCTACTCTCCTATTTACAAGTGCTTCTTGGCAACGGCCCGTACTTTGGCATCAAACACTGGGCTACGAATCGCCGTGTGAGCGGTGTGGAATGGATTCATAAGGGTCTGGACAACGAATCAATGCGCCACCACAAAGGGCGTCAAATTGGAAACACAAAAGAAGACGTTAGATCAGTAGTATTTCGCTGCCATTGTACTCTTACCTTGATATACAGCTCCCAGAGTTCAGTGAAAAATCCTTTTACCCCATCATCACCCTTTGCATCATGCAACAAAACGAACTTCATGTCTGATGTGTAGTCGAGTGAGTCAATTTTCCATGAGGTCTGTCCCTCAAAGTTCGATACGTACTCCCCGGGGTGACAAATGCAGACACCGTCCACTCGTTAAACTTATCCACTGCCCTCAAGTACCTGGCGCATGGCCGCATAAGTATCTCAATCCCACGTTCACTTGTGCTTTGGGGGTGATGTACCTACATGGCTGGATTACTTCGCACCGTATCCTCAATCACATCAAGGCTCGCATTCGCAATCATCTGCACAACATGGCGATCCTGGCCGCCGCCGATAGACGCTGGTATGTTCTTACTCATCACTGATGTGTTTGAGACCGACGTCGCACCAGACAACGATGCGACCGTGCCCGCAAAACCTGCAGTCGACCATGATGGAAGGTTCGCAGTGAGTGGTGAAGCTGTCGAGGCAGATGGACGTGTGGAAAGGTGAGTAAGCGAGTACAGAGGCGTATCTGAGGGTGAAAGTAAAAACAGATGGTGGGACATGACTGTATATTAACAATGCAATTGTCCAGAGCTTTGGGAAAGCTGTGTAAATGACCAATCCTTACGCAGACTCGTACCCGTTGGAGGAGCTCGTGGACGCGCAACAAAAGCGATTTCTTTCTTTGTGCAACGTGATCGCGTTTGTGCTCGATACAAAAGATCACATGCTCCGGAGTTAAACACATATCCGATTATCTGGGCAAAATGTAATGGCTGTGCTACGGGATCAATTTTCCCGCGCGGCCTACTCACCTATAAACACTTCGGAAAACTTAAAATTGAAATCCGCAATGCTAGTATTCACACATGAGGAGGCTGTACTTATAGGGACAGAGAGTGGCCTTTGGTGAAGATCATAGAAGATTCAGAAAATCATAAATTCTGGACCTAGGATCAACATGGGACAAGCCACGGATTCCATGGCGCGGGAAAATTGAGGGCGTGTTTACTTACTTAACTCCGTGGCATGTGATCTTTTTATATGGTACATAGGATGAAAATAGCATTTTTTGTTATCACAACAAACCATATTTCACACATTCAAGGCCTATCACATTTAGCGCCCAGACTCGGACTATCAACTCTGTGATTCGGAGGCCTTGTTCTCATGCACCGGATTACATAATTGTAGAGGTGTAAGGTCTCACGTTCGGTGCAACAGCCGTAACAGCGTTACGCGCTCACGATTGTAGACCTGTCGCCTAGGATCGTCATCCACCTACCGAAAATACAGGTGAGCTCGAGATCACTCCACGGCACGTCATCCCACCTCGGTCCAAGAGAACTTTTTTCGTAAAAGAGCGAAGAAACGCTTGTCCGCCTAGAAGGGAAGGTGCAGGGTTGGAGACCGAGGGGGATTGATACGAATCCAACCTACTTTGCGTCTCTTCCTATAACAAAACAGCACCTCTGCATGCAGATTCCCCATGTACAAATCATCCAAGGTTTTCACTAGCAAAGGAAAGGCTGATTCAAGGTACACACAATCGGCAGCCAATATTATTGAAAATTGGGAACTCGACTGGACGGCTGGGGGAAGAGGTTCACCCCTGATACAAAGCGGTGATGCCCAAGTGTGTTAGCGCAGAGGGGAAAAAAATCAGTGCGCGTACCAATTGAGTTCTACGGCGGAAACGGACCGTCCAAGTCCGTTGAGCTCTATGTTGCTTCTCATTATGGGCAGAAGCGGTCTATTGAGTGTAAAAGCCCGTTAGCTGAGGGTTGCTTCAGCTGAGGTGAATGGGGGAAGAAAGATGCACAGCTGATCAGTAAGGACTACTTCGCCTCCCAACTTTGCGGCCACCAGTCCGACAAGTCCAGTACCCGCCCCTTGCATAGAGGTCAAGAAATGGCGGACATAAAGATTCTAAGTTTAAAGTTGTACCAAGTTCTAGGATTCTCTTTCCATGCAATGATTGATAGCGATAGACGAGGTACTCTGACAGGACCTGCAAAGTGCAGGGGGCTGCGTGACAGATGTTCTAGGTCGACTTGTAGTTGAGGACACTGACTCGGCCAGCTAACCAAACGTTCCCTCCGCAGCCAGGGCTCCCATCAACGGAAAGAGCAATAGTTTGACTGTCCGGGAAATTTAGATGGATCGTTCCCTTTTGTATGGCTGGTTGCTCGGGGACGATGTCCGAATCGTAGGATTTGAAATGCTGAAGGGGATCGGTCTCATCCCCGCTGTGGGTGGAAGGCATCTTCCGTCAAGCTACTGGGAAATGAGTCGATGACGGTGAGAGGTGGCAGAAGATGTTGGCAATGATCAAGATGAATGGCACAGCCAGCCCAGATCAGGCAACCTCGGATTGATGCTTGAGGTTGCGGCGTGAGCACTGCATCTTTGACTAGCCCGTTTGAGCAACATACAGACAGTGAATCAGATCCGAACCTGATGTTTTGGTATTGGTATTGTCAAAGCGAATTCTCCGCAGTTCAATCGCTATAGAACATGGACACTACGAGTGTTCTTTTCGGCTGCTGTTCGTGATAGTCAGCATCATGCAAGACTGCTTTCGGATCTCACCAGTCTTTAAATCTAGATGTTCCCTTCTTCTTGCGGTCTCCCTCATCTTCACCATCATAACGAGCGTTCGTTACCACTCCCAACATGCATGGGCACGACTGTGTTCGCTTCATGCGAGCGCACCAATTTTGGGCAAGATGGAAGCGGGCACAACGGCGGAATAAAGGCACCAAAGACGCTCTGGATTTTTTCCTAATAAGCCCTTTTTCCTTCTCTGACCCAGCAGCCATGAGCGATGAGGGGTTGCCCCCAGACCACGAAGAAGAGGATACCATCATCTATATCACATCTCAATCTAATCCCCTTCTTTCGTCTCTCTCCTCCTCGGAAGAGAGCTTATCGCGACCCACTACCCCGCACGCAGAGGCCGAGCCCCCATCCATGACTGTGGATAAACGCCTACCACGTCCACTCCCAGTTGCTCCCGGAGTTCCATTAATACCGACCCGCAAGGTCCGAGCATTACCCACTCCACCGGATACCCCACCGGCCACTCAACGAAATCCCATCACCATACCCCCACGGCTGGAGATTGCCACCAAAATGCTTCAAGCCCTCGCAGACGCCACCGATTCACCGATCGTGCTCGCCACAGGGCTACCAACCCCTAGTCGCGGCTGTCTTACCCCATTTGACTTGGAGATTCAATCCATCTCAACTCCAATTGACTGGAAACTTCTGGAGGAGGCATTAGGATGTTGCTAGAGTCTTGATCACACATCGATGCACTATTTATTGATGTATCTTTATTGCACGTCGATAGCTTTTTGGACCTTTTCCCTTCCGCGCATTACTTGGCTGTATATATGCATTATAAGAGATGTGAAGCTTGGACGCATGAAGTGAACTGTATATATATACATGTACTGCTCATTGTTTTTTTTTTTTTTTTTCAAATACACAGTACCACTGACTCTGCCAAACTAGCGAACAGTTCGCCCAAGAGCGGCTACATCTTTGCAGACTCAGCTGGGGGAGACATCGATCAGCGGCGTGCCAATCGTCTGTTGCAGTCGCAGTCGTCTATTTAGATTTGGGAACCGCCGTTGATAAGATCCCCGATTACCCAACAGCAATGCACAGTTCGGTAGGCGCATCACCGTATGCACTGGAAGGGATAGAGCATATTTTCCCTTGCTACTCAAAGGTGCCGATTATATTGTCAGCAAAGTCACAGCCCCCAAGCTGTGCGCAACTATCATCAAAGCCACATCTATCTTCGTCATGTCAGTTCCCCAAGAACCGTCATTTTGTGTCTGTCCCAGTCCCTCGAAGGTTTGGCCAACACTATGCGTGGTCGGATGCGCCTCATGACGAACACCTCAGCGAAGCCTCACGCTGGAGATGATATATGTAGTAATTACTTCAGAATGTGCAAAGACACGTCTGGTTGTCTTGGGTGTATGCAGCAGTACTCATGGGGGCCTGCGGATATGCAGGCCACACAGGCGATAACATCTACGGTAGCGCAGAGTGAAATCCCTGGTTTGTGCCAAGTCCCACATCATAGGCATCCCAACACCCAAGCCTTCGGTGTAGACTTTGGTACTACGAGATCCCGGTGATGTGTAATGACTACGAGCCGCCTTGCAGAGATCCGAATATCCTACTCTAATCCCTCCAGCATTGACGCAAAGGAATTTTGCGAAATTCCATGTGTCGCGGCTCAATCCCTCATTTCGAAACGATGCATTTCCACAAGTATTTCCACAAGTATGGCAGGGGAGGCCCCCGCGGATAAAACTCCGTCCTTGCTGACGAATGAGGTGCGTATCCGGGAAAAGCATAACATTCTAACGCCGGTCTTCCGGCCTCGGAATTCCAAAACAACAATGCGACCGCCAAATGATGAATAGACAGAGGGGACACTCGGCCTGACGATCATTCAAGATCGGACCTTTTCCCCGTCCCCGAAATAGAGACGCCACTCGGCGGATCGGAGGGAGGATTCCCCTGACCAACAGTACTAGTCCAAGAATTCTCCGAGAGCATTATGCATTTGGTGGACCCCAGAAATTCGTGGTGAGACGAAAAAATCCCATCAGGCGGCACCCCGGTCCCTGACTATGCACAGTGGTCTCCGACAGAGCGGTGCAGCAGAGAAACATGCCTTCTAAAACATTAACTCTCGTGATCCACTTTCAGGTTTGTGTGTCTAGGCAGGACTCCAGCCTTGGCCACTTCGCCTCTGGTGCTTGCGAGGTGTGAAGCACTGAAAACAGCTGTGTTGTTCGGGTCCTGCCAAGCAGACAGCTTATCAGTGTCCGGGAAATGCCTTTCTTCTCGTTCCAGTCAAGCAGGGGTGGACGTTTCCTCTGCAACGCCTTTATTCATTTACCCCCGCGACTCAGAAAGTCATGGTCCATCTATTAAGCTTCAGCGCAGCGGACCAAGCCATGAACTTAACTGCCAACTGCTGTGCTGCCTTTTTAGAATGTAACAGAAGAAGCAAAAGCCATTAACATTGCATTCGTTATGATCCACGAAGTGACGACACTGAGGCCTCTAGTGAAATGGATACCACCAACAGTGTACGTAAGTACTCTCGTTCGTTATTGTGATAATTTCTGCGCAGATTGGCATCCTTGGTCCAGTTTTAAACCGTTCAAGACGTAAAGGCCATCATCGTTGTCTTTGAACATATGTTTCAGGTAAAGCTGGCACTGGACACCAATTAAATTAAGCAATAGCCAGATCATTTGTAGCCAAGTCCGGAATGTGTTCAGAACGAATAAATACGTTCAAATCTCACTGGGAGGGACGACGGGTTTCTTTAGGATCTTGAGATGGGCTGTAACACCATTAGCATAGAACCTGAGCATAGTATGGACATCGCTGACCATGGGTGAGTAAAATTTGTCTTTGGGCCTCCGGAGACGTGGGGTCCGCACTGCGGTCGGGTTCCTTTGACTGGTAATCAGCCTCTACGAATACAAGGGTCCTGCATAATAGAAGTCATAATAGTTATAGCGACGAATACAGTCAAACACAGTGTCACTACTCACCCCTTGACCAAGGTCCTCAAGAAGTTATTCTGCGATTCAGAGAACGAAATGATCTTATGCCAGCTAGTGGTAGGTGGGGGTCGGACTGCAAGATTCGGGTGAGCAAGGTCTGGTGGGCAGAGCACGAACTGGCCAACCTCCTTCCGGACCAGGTGCTAACGACGGATTTGTTGTCCCAACCAAATAGCTAGATCACGAGTTGCATCACCATCGATTTTCCATATGCTCTACTACTCACGTCACATACTCCTTGTTATTCCGTGTGGTCCTTGTTTCTGGGTCTTTCCCAAGACGACCAACGAGAGTAAGTCGAGCCACATCTTGAAAAGTCGTCGCAGATGACGTAAAACTCTACATATGACACTGAATCTCTGAAAATCCTTTCCCCCCATTCCAGCATACTTACACGACGAAAGGCAGGCGCTTGTGGGCGAAAGATGGTTCGAAACATGATGAAGGTGAATTTCCCACGGTCTGATCGCCCTCAAACCAGTCACAACTTTGCCTCCCGCTCCCACGGTCCTCACAGCGACGACAACACAAATGAGCACTATTATTGGGGATAGTGTATACTAGATAGTCATCTAAATAATCACAAAAATATGAAGGAGCAAAGTGTGAATCTTTGACATGGCACAATTTATATTGAAAGTGCATTCCCGTCCAATGCAACACACTACTCACCCTCATCCTCTGAACTGAGACCATCCTCACTTGAGCTCCCCAGGCCCAAAAAAATCATCATTAATACCCTCTTCAACCTGTTCCTCCAATCCAGAGTCTGTTACTAGTGCCTAAACCTCTGCACCCGCGGCAACACGCGCTGTTGTGGAGGTTTCTCACCCCGGCTGTAGCACACTTCCTTGAGTGCCTCCCAATTTTGTAGTAGCGTTTCGTTGTCCAGCTTAGCAGCTTCCCATGCTTCTGCTCTTGAGCGCTGCAAGCTCTCTACAGAAAACAATTTCGGATCCGGTTTTTTGACTTGTTGATGGGCACTTGTATTCTTAGGGTTGACCAATTTTTCTTTTGGTATAGTTGTCATTAAAAATGAGAACTCTTTTGTCTTTGTAAAAGTACAGTTGAGCCCAGGCAAACCCTGGAAAATTTCTACAGCGGCTTGTGCTGAATATATAAGCTTCATTTCTCCACTGGACAACTCCTTTTCGATCTAGCTGCCGAAAAATACAATGTTCAGATATTTACCTGTTTTTTTTAGCCGCGGCAAAATTTTTGACCCAAAATCCAAATGTTTTTTTTTTTTAAAATAAATCTGCATAATCAGTAGCCACTATGTAACAAGAGAATTAAAGGAGATTTAAATACAGGAGTTCAGCTAGCATACATTGATTGATCTGGCGGAAGAGTATCTAATTCAGCCATAGCATCCTCACATATAGCGTGATGACTCTTTTGTTTCTTCACAGCCCAGGCTGCAAGCTTCCCAGTAAGGCCCTTCCGGTAGGCATCCATGAAGCGCCAAGCTCGGTTGATGAATTTTCGAATTGTTTCATCTGGACATGCATCCAAACACTGTATCGCTGCTGTTTTTGCATTGGCAAAAGTAGTTTTCCATATTTCACGATATCGGTATTTTGCATAACCCCAATACTATAGATGTTATAGTTAGAAATTGGAACTAGTTCAGACAAGAAAGGTTTTAACACACCATCTCAATCGGGTTCAACTCACAGTGGAACTTCGGCAGGAATATGTACAGGTGTCCTGCCTGCGTAATTAATTCTTCCAGCATTGAGACCTGATTTACAAAATCAGCCTGATGACTGAGAATGCGGGCAAGGCAGCAGTCTGTATTTTCAAATGGGCAGACAGGCTTGCACTTAGCTCGTTTCCCATGTGTATTGAAACCGCGCTCCATCAAGACAGCCTCAAGGCCCTTGGGTTCACCTGCTTCAGTCACCATTGACTGAGGCATCCCCTGCTTTGAGCAATCAGGGACAGTGTCATCATTTGGGATAACAGTGTCATGCCGCTTTCGTTGTTTTCCACCATTAGATTTGTTCATATCAAATGCATTGAGAGCATTGGGACCAAGTGATGCATGCGCTGAAGACTGATCGAATATGAAGAGAGCCTGGCAGTTTGGATGAGCACATTCAAAAATTGGGACTGCCTTTGTGCAGATCTGCTCTAGAAGTTGCTGAGTATCCCACCAAGGGTCACCATTGGCACCGGGATAAATGATTTTGCAAGCATCATTCCCCTCTGAAACTATTCCATTGTTGTCCCGGATGATGAGTCGGCCACTTTCTTCATTTATAAAGTCGGAAACATGGATTAGACGGCCTCGACTCTTTTTCTGGAGCACAGACTGCCCCTCGGAAAGCCTTTCATTATAATTAGTTTGCACCACATTCTTCATTGAAATTGATGTGATGCTCACCAGGCACTTCTCTTGAACTCGTTTGTGTGGAAACAGCTCTCATCGTGCCAGATTGGAATGATCTGCTTTTCATTCTCACCCAGCGCTGGCTCATTTCGCTCCAGAGAGGTGCCATTGAAGACATGCTGGACCATTCTGGCCTCGTACTCCTTCATTTTGGGTAAAAAAACCTCGTTCCGGTACTTCACAACATCCTTGCGCTCGTGCCCATCCATGTAAACCCCTTTTTTCAACACACTCCTGCGATAGCCTAGTTTAACAAGCCAGCGGCATGCTGTCTGGTGTCCCAATGGTTTCTTCAAGGTAATACCAAGTTCGGGTAGGATTGCTGTGTTGAGGGTGTGACGGAACAATTCTGGGGTCAAATTTTTTGCTGACTGCAATGCTAGCCATCCCCGGACCGCTTTTTCAACATCAGGATCATCAAGGTGACAAGTCCCCTTTCGTTTTCCTCCCCAGCGTTCAATGGGAAGTGACTCATGCTTTTCATAATAGCGTGCCAATGCTCGGACACGCGCCGCAAAATATCTCCCATTTCCATTGTGTCGGTCAATTGCAATGTGAATACTTGCTGGGATCCGCTTATAACCTTTCATACGAAGGGTAAACCAGCTCCGTAGGAGGTTATATTGAGTAATCTAGAGCATGGTTATCGACAATGTCACTGGTGTGCCCATGCAGTCATGATTTCAAAACTCACCTGAGTTAGCGGCATGCTGACTATGTTCTTCTTTTTCTGGTCCAGCAGAATGTCGTCAATCTTCTTCCGAAGCTCTTCCCATGTTTTTGGCTTGGTCAATGGAGTAATGGGTGTCACGTCACTCATGAGCTCCTCCATTTCCTCATCTCCAATGTCTTCACCCTCAATCTCATTTCCCTCTTCACCCACCGCTGCTCCATTGTCATTACTGTCAAACATGTAATTAACATCTCTGCGCTGCCATTTACCTTCAGCCACACAGGAGTCGCCATCAGTTGTCAAGGGAAGGCCCAACACATTGATGGCACGCTTCCGCTTGGCTTGGCCACTGATGACAGGTGAGGAAGAGTCGCAATCTCGATTATTAATTGGGATACTAATAATGTTGGATGGATCATTCAGGGGTGGGGTGCTAGAAGTGGGCACGTCGCTGGACATTGTGGAGGTGGTGGGTTCAAGAGTGGTACTGGGTTTCTTGAGAAGGAATCCATCCAGTCGTGTCTGTTTCAGACCTGCCTGATGGTCTTTTCTTGCATAAAGTCTCCGTGTTCACTCTGCTTTGTTGGCGATTACTGGTCCCTTTCCATATGGGCCTCGAGTCTGTGAGTGGCACATCACTGGAAATTGATGAGTAAGTGGTTTCTTATTGTTAATAATGTCACAATGAGAGTTTGGCTTACCAACTTCCTTCACTTTAGACTGCTGCGCACAATCTGACTTATTTGTTGCATAGTTGAAGCCATACTTTGGACGGTATGGCATCTCTTCCACAAGTCTATTAGCAGCTCTGACTCTCTTTGCCAGAGTTTCCACTACTTCATCCTCCCCACATCCATGGACATCTTCACTGTCGGGATCTTCATCGCTGCATGCTAAAAATGGTATCCCAGGGCTCAGTTCACCCCTGCAGCGGTAAGGGTCCCATTCATCCTCATCACTCAAGTCCGAAATATAATCAGAGACCTTTTCAATAGGTCCCAAGTATTCCAGAATTGACATAGACTTAGGTGTATTCGAGTTTAGGCCTGATGGGTTGGCGGATCGGAAGCAACTTTGTCTCGTGATTCAGTGGCCAAACCAAGTTGCACCATTTGCAGCGCCATTATTGCATGTATCACAAAGAGCTATTCAGAATAATGTTGCCCTTCGGCAGGCCTTTCAAATGGTGCTAGAGCCAGGCTCTGGCGCTTATTTTTTAGCCCATGGCAAAATTTTGCGGTTCAACAAAAAATAAAATTTTGATTTGGGCAATTGTGACAAACGGAAATGATACCGACACACAAAATGAAGCATTTCACACATATTCAGGGGTTTCCGGGGAAAATTTAGGTCGACGAAAAAACTTTCAAGTGTTTGCTTGGGCTCAACTGTAACTATATGTATGGAGTTTGAATTAGCAGCAGGCGGTGGGTTCAGTAAAGGGTCCGGGAGAAAGTCATCTGACCTCGGGAGATGCCGGGTCATGAACTGAGGACCCCGGCATACTCCATTAGAGGTCCGATCGGAAGACCCCCATTTCGGCCCTCAAATTTTGAGTCCCCCAGCCTCATTTAGGCCCTCGACCTGCAGAAAAATGCCAGTTCGGCCCTCAAACAGATCAGACATTAAAATTTTTTTTCCACTTGGGTGGCATGAAGTGTTACCACAGTTGAGCTAGCAATGATATTCATGCAAGAATTATTAACCTACTGTAATCCAACACACCCCCCCACAGACCCTCCTGCAGCTTCCAGATCGCAACTTTGATTGTACCAACATTCATCTTTCTCATACACAATGTATATTGTCTCGGGAATAATTAACTTGTCAATCCGCAGCGAGTGGAGTATTGACGGAATCGCATTGTGTTTCTATTCAACTTTGCCACATTGATTGAGGGATAGACGAACATATTCAGGCTTCAATTGAGCGAATGCTATGGTTGGGTACAAAGTTGGAAAAGCGACCAACATCCTGTGACGACAAAGAAAATGGTGAAAATAGTCGTACGCTGAGATAGGATGGGGCCCCGATTGAGGTGACGCTTTCAGTATACTGATGTAGAAGGCTTCGGCCATTATTTCGATAAATTATCATGACTTGGTTGATTTCTTATCAGAGAGTCGTGCGATGAAGGAAAGCATGGGGAGGATTATTGCTGAGGCAAAGGACAACATTCAGGTTCGGCACACCAAGATGAGGTACAGGTGGAAGTGCAGAGACAGATGCCAATGAACCTAGTCCATAGATTTTCTTTTGTAGTCCTGATGGCACTAGCGGATCAAGATACATCTTGTGTGCAAAACAAGGTTGAAGCTGGTTGAGGACGGCTGAGTTTTTTTCGACAAGCCTTGTACGTCACCTTCATTAATTTATGCACGGCCGTCGAGTTTTGGCAGGTTTCGGCCCTCTACCAGATCAAGGCTTGATCCTAGCCTGCCCGAAAGGCCCTCAACGGGATATAACATTTTTCCGCCCAAAGCCAGACGAACTCATCACTCACTCTACCTGGTCACTTTTAACAGGAGATAACTGTTGGGATACAGTGATTCGTGATCTGTGGACCCAGGCTGCTGGGCGGGGGCACTGGGACCGACATCCACTCCCTCTGTTGTAAATCACTGTGCCCTTTGTTTGGTGAACTCGCCACCTTGCCAGCTCTCTGACCGCCATGCGCCGGTGTCCCATTCGTTCGCCCTTTACCCCTCCTACAGGCACCGGTATCCATAGGGCCGCTCCACCCCCAGAACGTTGTCCAGTTGAGATAGATCCGAAGAACCGGATGAAGGGAGTCAGTCGAGCGCCCACTACTAAGGCGCAGCGCTGTTGGGATGTCCAGATCAGGGTAGGCACATTGCAGTTCATGACCTGGTGGCCGTTGGACTTGGTGCACCCGACTGTGCCCACAATAAGCCCAAGCATGATGCCACCATAGCCGGTATCTAGTAAAGCCCTTTCACTTTTCTCTGTTAATGGGAGCCACGGCTGGAGATGTTGGTCGCAATGACGTCTCCCTTGCTTAGCAATGTATGTGCCCCTGACTTGGACTGGGGTTTTGGGGGCCTTGGCCAAGAGTGTGCGTGGCTCAGGAACGTTGATGTTTCTGTTCAGGAGCGTGCCTGCTGGTGGTGGAAAAGTGAAGTGTTCCTGCTGAACACATGATGAGGCTTACGAGCCTCTGGTCCTGCTGGGGTGGGATGGGATGGGATGATTATCTGCCCATTGGGTGAATCGTCTTATATTCCAAAGCTAAAAGGCATGGATATGGGCAATTTAACGCACTGGTTGTTGTTTAATGTCTTCATTTCACAAGACTAATCACGGGTTAGCAGTCTGCCCCCAGCTGACTTCAGGTTTCCGCCCTTGTTTGCCACTGGCTGGGAAACCTGACTGCGCCCAGTTGCGACCGCTTTGGCATTCACATGCCTTCTCTCACCGATCGCGGTTTTCCCATGATTTATCGCGCAAATTAGCCTGAACGGGTCAAATCACGCTGCCTCAGTCGTACGCTGAATGTTTTCGGCGCAGATGCGCAAAGCGGACCATTCAGTGGAGGTACGTACTGAATTTTCGCTGTTGAGGAGAGGTTTCATACTACCTTAGGTTTCGTACTACCTAGGTCGTGCCTATAAAGGGGCCCTGACGGATCCCTTTTCCCCTCTCCCTATCGCCTGGTGTCTCGCGCTCCCCTGGTGAGTGAGATCCAATTTGCCGCTTGCCTTTCCGGGCTCACGCTTTTGACCCGCTGCCGCTGCTGCCACCTGCATATTACTCTATCCCGGATTTGCTGCTGCCAATACCGCGATTCTCGACTACATTCCCATCTGCTCCAGCCCCTAGCATATTTTCTTGTCTCCCTCCTCCTCCCCGATACTCCTCCATCTCTTCTTTTCGAACTTTTTCACATCGTCTGTTACTCTCTCTCTTCATTGTATTTCACCTCTGTACATTAGCTTCTGTTTGCTGTTTTAGTTGTTAGCGCTTTCAATTGTGGCTGTCATCAGTTCTAGTAATTTTCCTGCTCTTCCTTTGTATGTACGAGAACGCGGGTCACGCGTCGCGCGCATGCGGCAAATTTCACATGGGCCCTTTGTGGCCGTTGCCCACTACCAGCAATTGTTAGCCCTGATTAGCCCTTGAATATATCTCAGTTTAATCCCATTTCACGTGACTAATCAGGTGGATCCGCGCGCGCCTCAGAGGAGGCCGTCTTGTTCTGCACTGTCGCAGTGCGGATGGAACAAGACGGACGAAACCCTCCTCCGGGCCCAAACTTGGTCTCAGACCAGCTGCGGGAAGAGACAAGTTGCATCCGGGAGCGAGATAAATAGCGCACCTTATCCACTCCCCACCTGCCTGCGCAATCGTACTACAACGTCTAACTGGTAAGTTAACGGTAGTGCGATGAGGCTTCTAACCGTGTGTGCTGGCCCCGCTCCTCAGGCCTGCACACGGTTATCCCTGCTCTCGCTATCCACTAAACGCGCGCTTACTCTTACTTTCATAGTTCTTAACTGAATCTCCGCGCTTCCCACCTCCTTCCCCATCGCCTCCGTTGCGTTACATCATTTTTTCACTTGCTACCCTCTCCTGCATTTACTATTAATGTATTTAATTGACGTACGGCTTGCATCGCTGGCTCGCTGGCGCACAATCATACGCATTGCAGGTCCATACGGACCGTGTCCACTAACTCATGGACCGCTCACGGAACCGAACTGATTAGTGCGTCCTTAAGGCTCGGTCCAACAAGTACCACGTCACGTTTGGTTGTATTTATAACGAGATTTTGCAATATTTACATTTTCCCATTGACAAATGTCGGCGATGTCTGAGCCTGGATGTTGGACACTCACTGCAAATTGATTAATTATGAGGCCCAATTTACACATTCTTTCTACATCCTGAACACTCCCATTCCGCGCCCATTGCCATCCCATGTTGCGGCGAAGAGCTTATCCAGATGACCTTTGGCGGCGGAGGCAGCAGAGAGCCCAAGGGCTAAGCCAAGGATATCCCGAGTTTCAGTTGGCTTTATGATGCCATCATCCCAGAGACGAGCAGTTGCGTAGTATGCTGTGGATTGACCCTCGATTTTCTCCTGCAACGACACGTGTTGAGAAGGATCCCTATTATTTCTTGTCAGCGGCCGTCGTCTGATGAAGATGTGTGCTCACTTTGATACTGAAGACATCACTTGGGACAATTGCGCAGAACCCATAACAGATACTTTCGCATTTGGCCACATCCAAAGGAATCGGGGAGAGTACTTGAATGCACTTACTAGAGCGTATCTGGATTTTACGATGACACTCACTGCTCGTCCGGCCATACCATAGTTCCCGGCTCCGTAAGATCCTCCAACTATAACGGTAAACTTAGGCACATCAGCGCAGGCTACCGCTCGAACCATCTTTGCACCATCCTTTGCTATCCCTCCCTTCTCGGCTCGCGACCCTACCATGTAACCTGAGAAACATTGTTTCATGAAGGAAAATTGCCGGCATCAGGTGGGAACAAACCTGTCACGTTGACAAGAAAGAGAAGGGGGATTTTACGCTGGGAACATAGCTCAATGAAATGAGTTGCTTTCAGAGCACTTGGCGAGAATAAGATCCCGTTGTTCCCAATAATGCCCACTGGATACCCGTGTATATGGGCGAAACCCTTCACAGCGCAGCCAAATAGAGATCAAAATCTCTTATGGGTCTACATGGCAGCCACGTACGGTGATGATGGAAGGCCCGTATTCTTTCTTGAATTCGCGGAACTTGCTACCATCCACGATCCTAGCGATGACGTCGCGCATATCAAATTGCTGCCGCAAATCTGTGCCAACAATCCCGTGTAGTTCAGAGGCTGGATATAATGGATCCTCAGGCGGTTGGGGAGGCTGAAAGCACGTGTGTCCGTATCAGCCCAAAACCAGCGAACACCGCACATACCTTGGCTGGCCGTGGTCCCGCTCTACCGAGGTCACTAATGATGGTTCGAGCTATTGCGATGGCATGGGCATCGTCCCTCGCGAGATAGTCCGTCACTCCACTCTCAGATGAATGCATCTGACCCCCACCGAGCGTCTCATCGTCCACTTGCTCACCGGTGGCTGCACGGACCTTCGATCCACGGACAACCTATATCAGGAAGGGTGCAAGCCACTTAGGAGAGAATGCGACGAACGAGAGGGGGGCCAGCCAGAAAGATCCTCCCCTGTTTTGCCACGATAACGTTCTCGTCAGCCATTGCAGGGACATAGGCACCACCTAGACGACCTCAGTACTTGTTCGAACGGGGAAATACATGCCACCTCACCTGCAACGGATATTCCATGGACAACGGCAACTTGAGGAATGTTCAGGGCAGACATTTGCGCCTAGTAGGGGCCAAGTCCAGAAAAACGGGCGACTATAGACAAAGGAATTTACCATATTGTAGAATATCCTTCCAAAGTGTTCTCTGTCGGGGAAAACCTGTTGGGGAGGTTTAGGCAAGTCGAGATTGAGCACTACTAGTCGAACAACTCGCCTCTGCTTGATGAGGGAGGGAAGCGCCTCCAGATTCAACTAATAGGAATATCTCTCAACCATCCGTGTCAACTGGTCAATATGGTGCAAACCGACCCAAGTAGATGCAAGGAAGACCATGTTCGCGGGCTATTTCCTGAGCTCTCAGTTGCTTTTTGACCTGGTATTATTCAAACATGAGCTCGGAAGGGACTAAACTGAGTGTTAGCGTAGGCAGGTACCGTTAGTGGTAAGTAACTTCCTCCCTTGACGGTGCAGTCATTAACAATAACCATAATTTCGCGCCCAGAACTTCGCCCAATTCCAGTGATGAGGCCTGCTCCGGGAACATTCTGGCCAGGATACACCTCGTGTGCCGCTAAAGGGCTCAACTCCAAAAACGGAGCGTCAGGATCCAGAAGTAACGAAAGCCGTTCCCGTGGGACCTTCTTTCCCTTGGAACGCATCTTCTCGAGTGCCGCTTGACCACCACCGAGCCTGCCCTCTGCCAGCTTCGCTTCAAGACCCGATACAAGAGCATCCATAGCCTCCGCACGAGAAATGAATTCAGGGGAACTGGTAGAAACAACGGATGGTAATGTAGTGAATCCCTGGCGGGTGGCATTCAGAGAAGTCATATCTTGGAAGGTGCCCACACTGCAATTCCTCAAGATCGGTATTAATTGGCTACCCAATCTCGGGATGCATATGGTGCTTCGCGTTCGCCACTGAAGTCCCCGAATCATTGTGATGTAAATCACAGTCACATGCATCTTGACTACTAATTTATTCAAATAACGTCCGCAGATGAGCCTGCCATTTTGCAAGCCATCGTACCACTGCTTCAATGCCTAATCACGGTTGACCTTGATGGACTTCAAGACTCATCGATGAACAAATTCACACATGTCTTCTGTGAATTGGTATTTCTAGAGCTCCAGGTGAAGGCTGAAGCAAGGCCCTCACTTGCAGCTTCGACCCCTAGGTCCACTCACCCTTCCGCCACGCTACACCTCAGATATTCTAAGCTTTGTGTGGGCTCACGGCGCACGTTCTGTGCAACATGAGACTCCTCGACCTTCTATATACTACAGTTCCTGGGTAACCCTTTCGATATCTTCACTCGGTGAATTCCTTATCACATACGAGCATGCCGAACTGTTTCCGACCTACATCTCGTTGTCAACAACACAGAGAGATTTGCATGCTGGCACTAATGCCCTTTACAACTAAGTCGCCCGACGAGTCTCGCTCGTTTTCTCGAGCCAAATTTTCCGCTAAATTAGAATCATTGAACAATCCGGAACGTGTCTCTGGGAACGCAGCCCCCTGGGGAGGAATCAGATGCTAGATTAACGCTCAACTGAGCACAGAGGATGCCTCTTTGGTGCTCAAGGTCTACAGATGGTAGATGAAAGGGTGGACCGTGGTTCATTCGTTCAGCGCTACAGTATGCCCGAACGTCAAGTGGATGAGACCAGAGCTACGAGGCACCGACCCAGCATAATTGGACAAGCGACAATTTGCTGAACAGCACAAGAAGCGAGCCGGATAGGATCGTGCTCGCGAACTGCAGTGAACTTCGTTTCGCGTCCCTGGCGAGCCGGCTTAGTGTACCGCATTCTGTTGCTGCGGGCCATGTGAGTTGAAGGAAAGTTGTGCGTAATCAGGCTCATTGGGAGGATAGATTGTGGAGTAATACACCTGGAGCATACCCAAACATTCTCGCAAGAAATTGAAAACCCTGGTAGCAAGTCTTATTCGAGCCTCGTGGAACGGATCTCCGCCAAGCCCAGACAAACTGGTCGGTGGTTGCACGATGATCTTATCCATGAATACAGCACCAAGTGGCAAGACCTATCACATGTGGACAGGCCGTCGCAGAGAAATTTCGGATCCGCTGCATGGTGATACTCTGTGACCCAGAGAGACAAGGTCAGACCAAATACCTACTTGGATTAAACCCATAATTTCGAGCATGCTCAAAAGCCACATGTTGTGGCGTTATATGCGCGCGGGGGAGCGCATCCATCGTCACTCCGAGCTACCATTCAATAGCGCACAGATAGCGTGGATCTCAGCAACCTCCCCTCAGCCATCGAATTTTTCCTTTCCTCCGTAACTCATGCTAAGCTATTTGCGAAGAAGCACAAGTCCATAAATATCAGTTCCATTTAGGAATCTTGACTCGAGGCACCCCGGGTGCCTATTCCTCAGCTTTCTCTTGATTCTAATCTAACCCCATTTCTCCCTCCATCCCATCAGTTTCTTTTGGCGTCCACCAGTGGACGACGATATAACTCTCTCCCACACATACACACACACACACCGAGTACATAGATTAAGGATCTCTTGGTTGATGCCGTTGCCCAACCCCTGATTGGACGAAATGGTTCTCGAAAGTTTATGTCTTTATTTTCATGTTCTAATCAACCCAACCCTCAGCTGAGCTTCCCAACTTCCATGACCTGTCTCTGGCACAAATACTCTCAGAGTGCTTTCCAAAGCGTATATATAGGCCATGAAACCGCAATATGCAGCAAGTCAATAACTGATTGTCCGGCTACGTGGCTCTCGGCGTGGTTTCGACTCCCGCCCCTGAAGTAGCGGTATCATTCTTCTAGACAATGACAAAAGTGAGACATCAAGGAGTGGTTTGTGGACTGTAACATGGAGACTTTTTGGTGAACCGTCTAGTTCAGATGGGAACATACTATGCTGTGAATTGAGGTGCTCCTTGTAAGTACAGTGTGCTTGGCCGTCGCACTCAGAAGCCCGACTGAACAGGGAGCCTTGCGAAGATTTTCCTTTTTTTTTTTCTTTGGTGGAACCGCCCGTAGCTTTCGCTGGGTAGGTTACCTACCTGGGGGTTTGAGGGTGGGGAGTTATCCCCGGGGATAAGGTGTATATACACAGACGTTATCGTGGTCGTGACCGGATGGATAACTGTCCATACTCCGGCGGAGATGGCTTGATTTCTGCTCGTGTGAAGGCACCAATTGCCATCGTCGGGTTTTTAATGTCCAGTTTTATTTTGTGAACTCGGTCAACTTACACCGTACATATAAAGAGGTCCGAAATTTTTTTTTGGCAAAAAAGAGGCTTCATTTTCGGTATGTGACCTATATGTACGATCTGTCGCAAGGTGGGAATTTGGCCATAATTTCATGTTGGATCCGACAAGGCTATTACTATCAAATCGACGGCGAATAGGATCGCACAAATTGTTTGCTATCACGTGTTCCGTTGAGTTGCTTGCCCTGCTGTCATGTCACACTCAGCTAGAAACGCAAACAACCTAGGCTCATTAGTTCAAAAGAACACGGGTGGCCCATCGGATACTCAGCGGAGCAATGGTTCAAGTAATGAGCGGCCTCTCAAGCTGAACACGTCTCTTTTTCGAAAGGCGAAGGTTCACAATGCGAATAGGTTCACACCTGGCAGCAGCAACAGTCATAGGTTTGCACCCCCACAACCACCTTCGGCTGTTAATCAGGGTCGGAATGGGCCCATAAAAGCAACTGTCTCCCCAAGCTTTAGTGAAATTTCGCCACTCATGGTTGGTGAATCTGATCCTCCAAGGGACACGCAAAATCACGATCCCAATCCATACTCGAGCTTCATCCCTGCTAGTGAAAATGGCCCTCAGCTCAATAGAGTCGATTTCCCTACCACTCCAGAGTCCTCCTTTAGCTTTCGTCTAGACCCGGTCAACGCAATACAAGAAGCTTCATTCACTTTGGATCCCACTTGGGATGGGACTTCTGCGTCTTCGCTCATCATCAAACCCTCCAAAAGCCTCAGGTTGGGATTGGAGGGCGGGCCAAACGCACAATCTGGCTTCGCAAGCAACCATAGCACCTCTCCACCAGCCAGCACGCCGCAGACGGCCGTCTCAGGCCCAGCAGGCTTGTCGGATGCTGAACGTCACCATGGACATCGCGAAAGCAATAAACGTCCTCTCGAGTCTCCAGGGACTAATATCGATGACTCAAAGAAGCTGAAGACAGCGCAATTCAGGGTGTGCTCCCTTTGATAGCAGCTAGAGATCTCTCATCCCAAGCCTTTTGCTCTGGAACCTGTCTTTATTAGATGAATATTGATGGGTTGAATGCCTCTCATAGTCCTAATAGTTCTCGCGATCATCAGCAACGGATCACTTTGGACCAGCATGCGGCAGACAACTTGGTGCTAGTGGAAACTATAAGAGCCAAATATACCAGTTGCACGCTCGATGAATGGTTTGAAGCCGGTCAAGGTGAGTGTGGAATTCCAATGATCTTTATGGAAATTTGTAATCCACACTGAATGCTAGTCCTTGCGAAGGAAATTTCCGGATTGGTCGAGTTTGTAAGTCCGTGTAATCGATCGCTTTAAGCGTTCGGCTCATGCATCTGATGGCAGGTCCAAAACTACATGCGGTAAGGGCATTTGGTTCCAATTTTCTCTTGTACTGGATGGTCGTATCTAGTTGCAGGATGGAGAAATATCTCACCCTTCACACCCGTACGGCTGCTTACTCAAGGGACGTACTGGACTCTCGGGATACCGCTTTGAAGGGTGCTACTGATAGCCTTGTTGCTTCTGCTGGAGCCCTGATTGAACCTACTTTGTGACTTGCGCCTGCCTGATGCTATCTCTTTTTCGGTGATACGGTAGCCTGAAACAACCAGTTACACGCAATGCTATCTCATTCTGCTATCCTACGCTTTGAACAGCGGTGTACCTGATTTCTAAGGCCAGTTTCTCCAGCTCAGCTTTTTTCCTCCCATGAGTGCATTTTGGTGCAGCAGTATTGCTGTTGTGAATGTACGCGACATTAAGGCTGCAGCAAGGTGGACATGCGCGCGCACCTGCACCACGCACCACGCGTTACTATGACAGCAATGTTGCGCTCTGGGCGATCTCAAGGCGCTTCCGCTGAGATTTCTGCGGAGATCAATGACGCAGAAACATGCCCGAATCGTCTAATTGGAAGCGCAGGTCTATTTCTGCCCAACGGGGACTCGGTTTTGTACATTTGGTACTCTCTTATTGTTGAGAGTGATACGGGAGCATACTGGGAATGCACTTGCTCAGAGTGTTGCACCTGTTCAGAATGGGAAGGTTGTGATGGCTCGAGCTTTGCTGCTTGATTTCGTTTCTCTTGAGAATTGGTGTCAATACTTTGAGGTGGGAAATGGCAGCGAGGTTATGTTTTCTTTCACCATACTGCAGCCTGCCCTTGATACGTCTGTCAACAGGGAAATGTGTGGCATTTTATGTAGGTGTGTATGTATGACCAGACTTTAAAATGTTTACCCCTCCGCGATTGATAGACATGTAGTCGCGCTGATCAGGACTGCTGGAACATTTGTCGCGTCGAAATGCTGATGTGATGATTTTGTCAGCACTCGTCTCGTACATGCTTCTGATCCACGCATCACGGTGTCACCCATCACATTCTTTGTAGCATCCAACTTACATCCAACACTCGCACCTTGTATAACCTGCCTGAATTGGTATGCAGAAGCAAATGCGATATGTTTCTATCACGCTGAATCCCATGGGTTGCCCAACCATCCCATAGTCGGCAAATCTTCCTAGTTCTCACTCATGGACCTCAATGGGCTGCACCTCACCGGCTCCTTGATAGTTCAGTCAGAAGCTCAACGATTGAGAAAATTCTTTAGGTGGCCGAGGGGAAAGTTATCGGGTTGAGCGGACCAACTGACTGATCATACTGTGAATCGAGAAGCGCCCAGAACCACATTATCATGGGCGGACGTTATACTTCCACCCCGAGAAACCAAGGAAGAGGCAAAGAAGAACCTCTCAGCAAAGATTCGCCATTATCAAAAGAATATGACACATGGAATGAAGGTTCTGCCAACGGTGAGCGTGCTGTGATGGGGGATATTGCACGTATCGGAGATGGGTGTCCATGGAACGAGGGATGATACTGTGCAATTAATGCAGTCGGGGCACAGTAGAGCAGCCAGCCATGATGAATGTGATCGAAAAGAGCGTGGTCGGAACAGAACAGGTCACTAATAGTGATGTGATGTTAGATAAAACCCAAAAACCCTCACCCGTGCAGCGGGAGGACGAAGGCAAGACAAATAGCCTCTGCAACAAAAGAGATAGCGAATGACCATATAAAACTACGCACTGGTTGGGGTCATATTGTCAGTTTTTGTCCACGTCAGCGCGTCCATAAATAACTTGAAGTGACTTACTGATAATCTCCCAATGAGCTCTTACAACAAGGGGACACTTCAGAGGCAAAGTAAGACTGCTCAGCGCCAACGATGAACAAAGTCCCGATTCACTCACTTGCTGAACAGAAGTCATCGGTGCTGTGAAATGGATAGCCCTCCTCGATCTTATTAGATGTTTGGGCGGAGGTTGCGTTGGTAAGGACTCAAACGAAAATGGGAGGTCGACGATAGTTTTCTCCCTTTTCCTGTTCTCCCTCCAGTCTTTTCTACCCTTATCCACCTTCAATCCTACACGAGCGTGGTCATGTGGCAGAAGTTGTGGTTCAACTGTGTCGATGGGTACGGTAACAGTCGTGTTACCACCGGCAAAGTGGGGGCGCTGGGATGATCGGATCAGCTCTTGACGGGAGGCACGAGTAACAGTGGATGGCAAAGCGGTGGGGTATTTCCTTGAAGACGTTTCGATCAATGAGCCCGGCCACCCAACGCTCATCTCATCCCTAGCAAAAACTCCAACTCCGCTCGACGGAATGGAGTGGACGCAAGACTGAGAACCAATCTCGTTCCTCTCTTGCAGATCTTCCATCCCAATATGGATATCCTCCCCTGTGCGACACTCGCCACTCTCCTTGATCTTCTCTTCCGTGCTTGAACCTCCATCGATAGAAACCTGCACAGGGGACTGAGGAGGGGAGAAATCCTCAGAGTAACTTTCTGAAATATGGATCCTGTCCAATCTCTTGGTACTCCGTCTCCCGTCAGCATCCTCCGTCCCGCTGGACGGTTCATCATGGCTTCCCAGGTCCGAATCCCTGCTACGAGTCCAATCAAGTGCGTGGAGATGCTCCTTGATTCTTTGTAGTTCCGCCTTGCGCTCCGCATCCTCCTTGGCTTCCTCAGCTTCCCTCTTGCGTTCCAGTCTCAGCTGAGCTTCTTCGTCGTCTTGTACATCTCGGGCACCGCTAACGGCACCGACCGCAGCACACAGCAGACCCCCGCTTTTGCCGCCTTCGTGCCCTGGTACATCCCTAGCGAATATCCTGCCAAAGCGTGACGGAATCGTGAGGGGAACGAGCGTCCCAGATGCGTCTGCTGCCTGTATCATGTCGACTCTGGTAGCAAGAGCATCATCTTCCCCGTTCTCCTGCGCTTTCGTCTCTGAATTGTTGGTGGTTAGAGGGTGACCGGGGACAGGCACTTTACATTGTTCGATCTCCCACGGAAAAAACTGCCTCGCGTGACCAAACAAGAACAGGCAAAAGCAGATCTAGAACATTTTTCGGAAGCCACATTGAATTCAATAAGGCTGGTCAACCCAAGTACTAGGTACGCACCCCATTCATGCACACACACACACCCCAAACGCCCCACCAAAAACACGCCAAGGCGGCGAGTTGGTACGAGAAGCCTTTACCCCAAACCAGATATCCCAGTAGAAACATGAACGCAGCGACGATCCATAGGGCAGAAAGGGAGGCTCCGAATGCTCCTCGAAAGTTTCTAAATATGTCACCTTACTTTCGCCCCTTGATTGACTCGAGGAGAAAACCTCACTCACCCAGTGTTCGTAAACGAAACATCAATGAATCTCTCCAAACTCTTCTCCAACTGCTTCTCCACCTCCTTCTTGATCAGCTCGAAACGTGCCGGGCTTGGGTGAACATGTCCTCTCATCCTACCTCCATCACCTCCATCAACTTCGTCCGCAATAAGCGGGTAGAGTAACTCCGGGTGAACCTTCAGTCTCAAATGAGATCTATACACCGGATTCGTAGCAGGCGTAAAATGAGAACCTTCCGCGACGCGGGGTAAGAAAAAGACCCTCTTCGCTCTGAACCAGCTGTAGGCCAACGTCTTGGAAGGCGTAGCGGAAGTTTTAGCCCTTATCGGGTTCCCCAATTCGGCATCGCATTCTTCTCGTATTTTTGCAGTGGCCGATCGAAGGTGCTGAGGTGGTCGTTGCTTCAGATGAGTGGCGCCCACCAGATCATCCATCTCAACCTCCTCAGAGATCTCCTTCAGGGGTCTCTCCCCCATCTCGAATTTCACCGCCGGATTCCTCATGCCGCTCCCTCCGTCCGATCTTGTGAGGCTAGTACCTCCAGGAGCAGCACCACTCCACCTATTGGGCCTACTGGAAGACTCGGTCACACTGCTGAAGTGTGACCTTCCCGCCGACATTGTGTCATTCGATCTATCCGTTCGGCCTGTTCGATTTGTATTGGTTACGCTGGAAGCAACGGCTGTTCTGGAAAGCGTGGATGCCCAAGCATTATACTGCTTTGCGTATTGGTTTAGCCAGAGGACGAAATATCTGTTGGGCGTCCTTGTAGTTCACAGACGTAATTAGAGATTCAAGAACGCACAAGTTCTGAACACCACCCTGCGGATCATCCGCCTCGACGTACGTCAGAAAATTCTCAAAGTCCGTTGAACTAAGCGGAGGTGAATGCTTGCCGAGGAGTATGTCTTGTATAGTGACGTGGAAATGGGGTTTGACTTCGATGTATGAGGTCGGTGGTTCGGGTTGGAGTTTGATGGAGACCGAGGATGCGTTGCCAAGGAGTGAAACCGAGGGATCAGTGAGTTTAAACTTGATTCCGTCTCAATGTGAATAAAGATAATGGAGGGTGCGTCTTGGAAGCGCCAGACCTAGCCAGCGAGCGCTCATTTGACAATTCTAGCCCCTGGAGCAAGGGAACACCACGACGTTTCCATTTGCCGGCGGAAAAAGCTTAATCCTACGGACATAAGCTTCCGTGGTGACTGCATGCTCGACCCCGACTTTGACCCGAGGAGAGAGAAGGAGGGTAAATGAAAGAAGAGAGCTTACCACGATAACTTCTAATCCTCGGTGCACCAGGATCAGGCGGGTTCATGATGCGGTATGGGAAAGTAGAAAGTCCTTGAAGACTATAATAGTGTTCTAGTGGAGGGCTAGTGTGCGAATGGAGGTTGGAGACAGTGAGAAGAGCCATGGCTCAAAATCGTAAGCGCCTTGACTGAAAAATGAAATTCAAGTGAAAGGACAGGTCTATCTTCGCAGTTTGTGAAGAAGGAAAGGACGAGGAAGAGGATTGGGTGGATGATATCAACGAAGTGCGATGGAAAGCGGAGACGGTGGTGTTGTTATAAGTCGACGAGAGAAGCGTGAAGGAGGGAGACTGGCAATTCTGATACGAGGGGCGAGGAGTATGCACATATATGTAAAGCCGAGGATAAGCGCGCGGGGAACGATTTATACACTAGGCAACGCTGGTCTCCTTGATATGGCCATATTGATTCTCAGCTCGTTATCAGCACGACACCAGACTGTACCTTTCCCGGACAAGCACCGCGCATCTTCCTGTAGCCAGCTAGCTGCAATGTAGTAGCCATCACAGGTTCAACGTGCGAGCGCGTGGTCCCCGCGCCCGAACCGGTAGCACCTTGCTCCCCATGCATTGTTGCAAAGTGAATGTTGCGGTGCTGATCATTCAAATAAGGCTAATTCCTGGCTCCCGAATATCGACTTCGCCGATCAGTCTCGAACAAACTCAACTTCGACTCTTAAATCTGACTATACTGGTGCAGCAATTGGTCCTTATATCCAACATCGCAATTACCCCCTTCCTCGCAACAAAGATGCCCCAAGGCCGAAGGAGGTTAAGTGATCGAGCCGTTGGAGATGACCATCGATCAGAGAAGTTGACTGCACTCTTGAACACGGATTGAGATGCAAAGAGACTCACTGGGAAGCCATAGTGTGAGAATCGTGTTTCTCGGAATGAGGAGGAGTGCGCAGAGTAAGTCAAACTCGTACTTACGGGGCCGACTGGGTGTGAGCTAACGAGGGAGTAAAAGTTTTAGCTACAACTGCTCGATATAACAATCCAACGTGGTTTGTTTGCAGAGGGGCTAAGTGTCTATCCCAACAGAGGGGTCTTATCTTAGATCTATGTATTGTGGTGGAGTCGTCCGAATTATATTGTCATATTGGAAAAGAGGACCTCAGGTTACAGGCGGCCCTATAGTGTGCTACGGAGTAACGGGAATATAGAGGGCTTGACCCCGTTGTGCGTTTAGAATCTTTAATCCTACTGTTCATATAATGATTACTGATTATTTGGTGAAGTTGGGCATGAAGTTTGCAGTTTACTGCTGCTCAGAGTGAACGGCACGTCACAATGGCTGTTGCCGGTTTTCCTGCCCCTGTCGGTGCACCAAAGACTGGAACAGTTACTCATGGCCACCTCCATCAATCTTGTCTGCTTGGTGGTTGACCATGTTGAAAAAATTGCCCTCAATAACCTGTTTGTTATGGATGTGTCGCCTCACACATTTGTTAGCTTCCTTCGCAGGGCTATCAAGTCTAGATTAGCCCACCAATTGAATCATCTGGATGCAGACCAGCTGGTTTTGTGGAAGCTCTCGTCGCCGATACCAACGGGGGTTACAGAAGCCGAAGTCAGAGCTTTCCATCAAAGGATCGAGGCCATTACGTTCCCTGATCCTGAATGCGACGAGGCGCTGGAGGGAATCGGCCCCGTACAGATTCTCGGCCCTGTAGCCAGGATATCTAGATACTGGCAGGAAGACCCCGAGGAAAGCCATCTCCATCTCATCGTCCAAGTGCCTCGTGGCAGAAAGCGGAAGCGTGAGGACCCGGGTAGGTCTTTGCGACTTTGAATTTTATGGCCACACTCCTCACTCCTCTGCAGTCGATGTTTCATTGAAGCTGTACAATAAATGGAACGTTCCACTCTCAATCACTCCGGACGTTATCGATTTGGGTGTCTATCTGGACGCACCTCTTGAGCCCGAAGAAAAAATTCCGATTTCCAACCTGGAATGGCGGAGCCTCCTGCACACAGATCCAAGCTTTCCTGAGCTTCTTTGCTCTTCAGAAGACCTTGAGACGCTCTTTGTCAAGAATGAGGACGAGGTGGCCAACTTCATCCGGCCACAGGGGGCAATTCTCTGGACCCCACCGGACTCATCTGGTACTGACAAGTCCTTCATTTCATTCTGGGACAACAACATTCAAAAAATTCTCACGGCGTGTCTTGGCAAGTCCAAGTGGATACGCAACAGCAACTACGGCACAAGTACTGGATCTTTCCGGCCTGGTTTTGGTCTCCTCTTGCAGTTGGCCTGCTTATTCCGGGGGGAGGAGGAAAGTCCATCGTTTTTCGGAAGACATCCTCGTCAGAAGCTCGCTGAAAAGACTCGATGGGTCTATGACCATGCTCCGTATGTGCTCGGTATGTGATTCTTCTCCAGCACTACCTGTTGTTGACCCACGTATTTAGGCTACTATGCCGTTGGTGCTAATATCACACTTGTAGCTATTCAGCCCGGCATTGATACACAGGGAGACGAAAAAATTGTTTTAAAAGACATTTCAAAGGCAGATCTGTCAACAAGGCGGGGGCGTGTCGGAAATGCGGTAAGAATGATCAGACTGGTGAAGGTTCTCCGAGCATTAGAACGTACCGTAAAAGAGGGCGTGGATGCTGATATGCTTAGATTGATTTGGTGAGTGTCATTTGTGTATCCTGTTTGCATTGAACCTAACCGTGGAGTTAGCGGTGATGGGAAATATATCGAATTTTTCAAGAAGAAGATACGGAAGTTCTATCGCATAGAAGATGAACTCAAGATTTCCTTTCTTGAATCGATCTATGACAAACTCAAAGCAAAAGGCGTGCCAAATGTTGACACCCTTACGAGAATTGAAATGTCCCATCCAGAACATGGTTGTTTTGTTGAACTTGCACCGCGAGGTGACCCCAGCGGTCCAGAGTCTGCCGAAGATGTTAAAAATGCAGTCATATGTGTCCTCGAGGCCCTCCAGGTAAGTATTTATATGGGATTAGTAGTTTGAGTTCATGTAGTCTGTAGGTGTCACACACTGAGCCACAGGTGTTTCATCGAGATATTCGTTGGCCAAACGTCATGCGAAGCATCACCAATCCCAACCAGTGGTTCCTCATCGACTGGGAAGATGCTGCCGTCCCTCCAACGAAAGCAGCCCCCAACTTGGATTCTGGAACACATGCACCACAAGTATTTGAGGATGGCCATGGTACGGAGGTTGACCTTTGGGGTGTTGGGAACCTCATTACTAGAGCTGGTGTGCCTGGTCTCCCTGAAAACCTCTGTTCTCTTGGAAGGAAGATGGTAAAGGGTTCTATTTTGTCAGCCGAACAAGGGCTTAGAGAATTAAAATCACTGTGATGTAGAAATAGTGCATGCCTTTCTCACTTTGAGAAAGTACTTTTACGGTAGGTTCCGATCGGTTCGGTTGTGTGGCCGCAAAATCTACGATAATTCTCTACATTCCTTTATGAATCTAAAACATCATATCGTTATTTAGAACAACGTCCAATTGATCCAATTACCTTGGAATGCGGCAGTCACTTACTCAGTGTGTATGTCTCCGCTCGAACCTGAAAAGGTACATCGGGTATAGAATTTCCATGTTGATGACCCCTTGTTCAACCACGAAATAGATGAAAACACTAAGGAATGGGACTGGGTGGAGCGTTATGCCCAGATACCATGAGGGAATGGGAGCCCGAGGAGCACTATCACGAGAGAACGGGAACTGGGGGAGCGCTATACCGATACTATCACAGGACCCACTCTTCCTGCTCTGAGAGGGGTAACAACCTCCTGAACTGTCACGCCTCTCTATGTTCTCTCGGCTCCACGAGTACCCTCCGAATTTCCTGACGCCCCATATGGACTGCGTCGACCAGAAATGCAGTACACTGGCCGTCGCGTGGAGGACTCAAATGTGGAGGACGTGTGATGCCGATGGATTTGATTGATAGGGCAGGTTTTTGGAGTAGTGTCATATATGTGCGAATATCCTTGCATGTCGTAGGCGGCATGTTGTGGATAGGTGCCCTTGAATATGTCCTATTGCACTGTTGGAGTGGGAGTTGCAACATAGGCCAGCTGTTTGAGGTGCCCCCCCCCCCTTCACCGGGCAGTGACGGGGAAGGATGCATCTCGGCATCAATTGCAGATCATTCTTTGGGACTCGAATGTTTACCTGCCCCGCAGCTTGCCCGATCTTCAGTAGTGCCTGGTTTATTGCGAAATAAGGTCCAGTGCTCAAGTGGCGTTCCCCACTGCTATTGTGGTTGCTCACATTAGTATGCCCCACCTACGCTACATCTGCCAGGACAGCCTCATGACTTCCATTGTGGCTTCATGTCCTCACTGGAGGGTATTTCGTGAAATCCTCAGCAATTGTCTATCGGGCGTAGATCCAACTTTTGGCAGCAAAGAACCGCCATTACGGCACGCAGTTTCTTGAGTCGTTATGCCTACTATCTCGCATATCTACTATCTGCCGCTGGGAGTAGCCCAATCGCGTCCTGACGGTTTCTCCCGAATCGAGAACGTAGATATGTTCTAGGCCCTGTTTCATTCACTACGATCTGCGACGTGGAGGCGCTCGAGTGTAGTGCGGCCGGTCCCTGGCTATAGGTGCAACGTCCGGATGCCACTGAGCACGGAGGACCCACCGACGGGGCCCTGTGTCCCACATGCCTAAAGTTTGACGGCTCCGCAATTATTGTGCACTCAGGTCGAGGTAGATATCAACTAACTATGCCACCATACTTGAATTCCTTGACTCAGGTAATTCAATGTTCAGCGGTAGAATCAACTAGGTATCATGCGTTCTCTATCATGGCTAGGCAGCATCGTTCCACCTTCCTGACGCACTTCGGCCCCTTCAGTAAAGGGACTTCAGAACACTCATCTGCTAATAATGGCGCCGGTGCCGTAGTGGTAGACAGCGTCGGGTACGGTTGTTCCGTTCAAAACGGCCTGTGCAGACCTATCCAGGATATTACCGGTGTTGGATTCACATAGTAACGAAGAATGCGCCATTGCCCTGCTTCCTACCGGACTGTCACGTCATTGCAGTGTATTGGGAGGGCATTAGAACATTGATAGGCGCGCGACCCTATTCGTGAAAATCGTGCGCATCACAACGCTCCTCAGCAGACAATTCATGATCACCAGCATTAAAACTTCGCTACTCTATCTGCTCCAGCCATCTCTTCGAATGAGTAAGCTGTGCCCAGGATCAACGGGGAGCGGCTCACACGGATCACCAGTGGGCTGCCTTGGGACACGGCCGAAACGGTGGGTCTGCAATTGTCATTGCTGGAAAAATAGGAAGCTCGTTATTAGAATCTACAGGCGACGTAATGAGGTTTCCTTTTCGGGCCATCTTCATCGAGACGAGCACAATTGTAAGATTACTGCTAGACGGGAGAGGCAGTGTGGCGGAAGGAAATCAGAAGTGATTGAGGGCATCTCGACTTGGAGAATTAGTCAGATGAAAAGCCAGCCATTCGAGATGACGGACAGAACTGGAAGAATACGTCAGAAAAAGACCCAAGTTGTACACCCGCTGTTTACGTACCGTGAAGGGAGCATAAATTACGTATGATGCTTTGCACTGGAAATCAGTAACCCCGTCCACGCCCCCTGCGGCAATCAATGAGCATGCTGTTCGATATGTTAGGAAATCGTAGAAGACTCACCTTCCTCGTCCCCGATAGTACGGAGAGTATCCAGGCGCATTGTACCCACGACCACCTCTATACGTACCCCTCCCTCGGCCCCGTCCTCGCAACATAAACGCAGGCAAGTTGGTTCTTTTTTCGGTGACCTTGACGCGAGCCCCTCAAAGTGAGTTGAAATAAACAAAAAAAATCATAGGCACATACTTTGATTTGTCGCCCGCGGAATGTGGAGTCATTCAAGACCAGTGCAGCTAGCACGTAAGTGGGATCAGCAAATTCCACGTATGCAAATCTAATACATACGTGACACAGACAGCGGTTAAAGATAAGCCTGATACACACAAAAACGGGACATACCCTTTTGGGTGCCCTGTGAACTTGTCGCAAAGAATGGTGATTCTATTGATGCTACCACAGCTTTGGAAATGCGCTTGAATCTCTTCGGGCGTGGCTCCGTAGTCGACCTGTGCAAGTGCCATTACATAAAGCGGTTAACTTGGCAAGACCTTGAATCGATACAGATCTGACCCACATTCCCCACATATACACTGCGGGCATCAACAATGGCAGGGTCCTCCTCCATTGTTGAATCTTCATTCGGTGCTTCAGCGCCAGCCAACAGGGATGTGGTAATTTGTGTGGTATTTGATGCTCCAGCGGGCGTTGGATCTACGCGAACCGCGGACTGTGCCTCAGATTCAGTCGTGAACTGCCTTAGTTTTTGCGCTTCTTCCTCCATTTCCTGGGCACCCTGGGTTAGAAAACTTCCTGAGCATCAGACTTTTACGTACTTTGACCCTCTGCCTCATCGCCTCGAGTTCCTTATTTAGGGAATGGCATGCGCGAGACGAGCGTGGTGCCAACAATCGCAGTTCAAACACGCGATAAGAGACGCCAGAAAAGGGTTCGAAACCAAAAAAGTTGGAGGCGGTGTCTGGAGATCAGTTACGGTTGTTCCTTCCTTCACATGGTGCGAGGTGAATGACTTGCCCTTTCGTCCGCATCATCATTCTGAGAAGTGCTCATTTTCTGTGACTTTTCGCCCCAAGTTCTCCTTCTGGTCGGTGGCGCTGACAACGGGGCAACTGAGGTCACGCTTCCGTCCGAGTCCAATTCAATTTTTTTAGCGCCTCAAGATCCGACAAACTCGAAGATGATGGTGTCGGCTCCTGGTCTGATCAGCCTTACCTCTAGGATGCTTGGCGGTGTTGGTATTTCCCCTCCCCCTGTTTGCGTATACGCGTCGAACATCTCGCGACGACTCCCTTATTGGGCTGCCTTCAGGATGGGCGCGGCACTGTCGCCAATGAGCGACGGGTGTTCACGGAGAGCCATTGGCGCATATCAAACAAGAGGCATACATTGCAGCTACGCGCGAACGTACCCCGTCGCTGGGAAGAAATCTATTGTGCCATCGCCGCAATCCTGGGTGTCACGCCTGCCATCCAATGTGCAACGGTACGCACTGCTCGCACGAATGGACAAACCGATAGGGACTTTGCTCCTTTTCTATCCATGCGGTAGGCATCCAGTATTCTCTTTGTGTCCAGACACCCTGCACCCCAATTTTTCGTATGTTTAGTGTGATGAAATGTTCACCGAAAAATGAACGTTACAGTGTGGTCTATCCTGATGGCGTCATACGCGCATCTGTCTCCGCCCACGGTCCCCTTGACATACATTGCCTTGTTTGGGACTGGTTCCTTAATTATGAGGAGTGCTGGCTGTACGATTAACGATATGTGGGATCGTGATTTGGATCGGGCTGTGGGTAGGGTATCGTTTGGCTTGCGGGGTTCATTACGTTTTGAATACAATGCTGCATATCAGACAGGACGAAGACCCGGCCAATTGCCAATGGAGACATTACTCGCGTGCAGGCATTGTGGTTTTTAGGAGGACAGCTCACGATGGGATTAGGTGTCTTATTGCAGTTGAATTGGTACAGGTACGCGCCTATCAAAGGTCGATTGTTAAAAATTCGTGTTTTACATTACATTCTTTTTCAGCATTGCCTTGGGAGCATCGTCCCTTTCGTTGGTAGTGATTTATCCGCTGATGAAGCGAATAACATATTGGCCGCAAGTTGTTCTAGGTGGAGTCGGCCCTGTTTGCTGTGATGGCTTGAAATTCAATCTAACTTTTCTTTATCCTTGATTATTAACGCTTCACCTCACTCGCTTCTACGATGCACAGGAATGGCCTTCAATTGGGGCGCGCTTCTTGGGTGGTCGGCGGTTGCGGGTGTCGTTGATTGGGGTGTGTGTCTTCCGCTTTATGCGGGGAGTATTTGCTGGACACTTGTCTACGACACAATTTACGCACACCAGGTTGGTGGATTTTGTTCCAAGACGCTCCCAGGCTCCATTTCATTCCCGCTCTATTCTTCGGCCTTCCTTCTTACTGGTTCCTAATGAATAACTGGGGGTGCACTCTTGCAGGACAAAACAGACGACGTCAAGGCGGGGATTGGATCTACTGCTCTTCTCTTCTCCGAAAATACTTTGCCTATCCTTGGAGCCTTTTCCGCCACTTCTCTGGGCTTGATTTCGTGCGCGGGATATATAAACGGACACGGGATTCCTTTCTACTTGGGTGTGGGTGCCAGTTCAATTCAACTAGCGCGCATCCTGAAAAGAACGAATTTCAATGATCGGGGGAGTTGTTGGAATGGATTTGTGAAGTGTGGGAACGTAGGCGTTTTCATCTCCTTGGCTCTCACGGGAGATTACTTGCTTGCGTATATGTGGTCAGATGACAAGACAGCGGAACCCCAAGCAAAGGAGTAGAAGTTGATAGTGTGGTCACAAATGCAGCATAGCGATATATCCATTATGAGTTCCAATTATGTACAGGGTGGGGGAGCATCTCTGGTAATGATGAAGAGTAGCAACACTAGTAGGGGTAGTAGCAGCAAACTAGGGTTCGATGCCCTGGGCCGTATGTAGCTTGGTGTCAGGAAATCTCCCCATGTGTGCATCGTCGATGTCGGCTACAGCCGCAATGATATAAGCCAGTCATGATGACTTGCGGCTTTGCAGGAGACCTCATACGTTTGGCTGCAACCTTGCACAGCATTGATTCCGCCGGAGCGCAGCTCCGGCTTGGAAGCATGTCAGGGAGCAACCAAAGGTGTGAGTTCCGTGATCGTCGGAGGGCTGAGTGAGGCAGGGCCAAGCCCCGAGGAGATATTCGCTTTTTGAATGTAGTACTCTTGCACAGCTTCCTAGATCGGGGATGCGTAACCACTGCCAGAACCGGGTCGAAACCAAACGAGAACGGCAATCTTCGTCCAAGTTTTTGATGTCCTCTCTGAGTCCAAAGAGCGTGGAGAAATGACGTTAACGTGGTGCTCATCATAAACTGTGGCCTGGAAACCTTGACCACCGGTACGCTCCTGTGCGATGGACAAATGCATACAACGGTTTGGTGGTGTAAAGAATAGTTTTTCAAAATCATCGGCATGTTCTTTGCCTTCATGCCAACCACTTCATTTGTGGCGGGAACATGACGGCGCCATGTGTGTGCATGCAATATATGCAAGCATTATGGGACTATGTAACACACCCTCCTGATTCGGTATTGTGTTATTGAGATGCTTACACATGTTTTTGATGATAGTTGTCTGGAGAGAAGGACGCCAACTGGGTGCAAGTGAATGTCGAGTCAGATGATCTCCAAATCAAAAGGAGGAGATTTTTGGTTATGGAACAGTCGAGATGAACACGAGTTGTGTGCCGTGCAAGGGTCAAACATGGCTATGTTCTTTTCTCAGCAGCTTCGAAAGTACCTTCCCGAGAATGGTTCGGTTGTGGACAGCGGGTGGAAAAAAGAAGAGGCAAATGGACTGTTTCATTTCAGTCGCGGTCAAGTTGCATGCTGGGATAGATTGATGTTACAACGTGAAGTAAGTAAATGATCATATTGGAAAGTGAGCAACCCGATCAGTGACGGTCGAAGCCTGAGGAACCGAAGCGGACAAGGCGCATATGTATTGAGGGGATGTCTTTGCAGCATGATCGCCTAGGGCGTTGATGTAAGCCGGTTACTGGCGTCCGTAGGGCCCCGGGCCCCGGTCCCCGAGCAGTCATCGAACTATCTTTGGAGTGGTCTGGGAAATGCGATTGGGTCGCCCTACGGCCGTCGTCAGGTATGCGGATCAGGATCATAAACCAAAGATGCATTGAACCAGCAGCACATGTGTAAACGGACGACTTGAATTGAGCTCCGCCTCCCGCAGCCCAAATAGGTAACACCAGTGGTGATCAGGCATGAGACATAGGGAGGATGGACAGACGCGCTGCTAGAGCTGTCAGTCGTCCGAGAAGGCTCGGGAAGGGGAAGGCAGTGGAGATCTGGGGGGGCTGTTACAAAATGCAGTGTCTTGCGGAGATCGTTAGATGGAGACGTAACAGATTTGAGTCGCGGCGTAGTCAATGGATACTGATAGGTTTGTGCTGTCGGGCCAAGACAGGCAAAGAACTTCTCCAGATTCATTTCTATAGTGTGTACTAGCGCCCGGATCGCTGTCACGAGAGCTACTAGTACGCCATGCGGACATTCTCCATCAAGATGAGATATGCATTTAGGTGCTCTCATTGGGCAAGTCTAATCGGGAAGAGAGACCTGATCTCGAGGCGATACGATGTTCACGGCTGGTTAGCAAAACACTACGAAATGCTGTGAGGGTGTTGTAGGTAGGCACATGAGGACGACAATGGGGAATTGGGTTGATATTTGATAAAAATAAAATATAACGAAATACATGACGCATCCAGGTTTGCAGCTGTCCCAGTGCGAGATGAAATGAGTTGTATTCACATGAGATAGTGTACAAGATGAGGAAGATGCATATGGAAGTTGAGCAAACACACTCACGATCATTCAGTAATAATACTAAAAATCAAAGATAAAACAGTAATCGTTACTAATTAAGCAGAGTCATTTCCTCGTTCATTTCTCAATGAATACGTATTCCCAATCAAGTGGAAATTTGCCAGATTGTGGGGGGACAGCCTTTGGGTGGAAGCGAGCTGGGATTCGAGGGATGGTGGTTGTCCATGACCGTATAGTGAGTTGGGTGGGATAACAATTTTAATTAGCCGTGGTAACGGACGTTGCGTATTTCCGTAGGCGGCGATGAATTCTCCTTGCCATATCTCAATTAAATTAAACTACACTTGGGATATTACTCAATCAATTCAATCCTTAGCGTCAAATACTGAATTGATTTGTTGTGTTGTTATCCCTTGAATCGGACCCCCCTCTTCTTTCAGGCACTTTATAGATAAATGCAGCAACAGATCCTCTCCTCCTCCCCCCCCTCCTCAGCTCTCACTCCTCTTCCTTTGCTACCACATCAGCCGTCGTACTCACCCTTGCAACTCACCCACCACATTTAACTTTTCCCATATCCACCCATCCACCCTAGTTCTCCTTGTTCCCCTCCTAGCTTCTTCCCAGCTTCCCCACACACCATCATGGCCGACCATCCGCCAAAGAAGCAGAAGACAACTCATCTTTCCCCTGTCGACATCGCCGATTTGACTTCCCGTCCTCTTCCCATCCAACGAAGGAGGGTGTGGCGCGCTTGCGAATCTTGCCGAAGAAAGAAAATAAAATGCGATGGTCATGAGCCTGTGTGCTCCCAGTGCACGCAGACTAATAGTACTTGCACTTGGATCCAAACAAAGGACCGCGCAGCCACAAGCAGACAGTAAGTGTTCCCATTACTATAACCAATCTTTTCGATTAACCTCCCTCTGCAGCTATGTGCAGGAATTGGAAGCGCGTCTCATACAAATGGAAGGTCTTCTCACTCAAGTGGGTGGTGCCACCGAGCTCCTCACTGCCGATAGTGCTCGACGATTTGCTCCGGCCAATGCTCCCACTCCGGCATCCTCCTCGCCCGCCTCAGCACACACCGCCTCTTACCCTACTCTCCAGGACAGTTCAACATACCTTACCGACCTGAATGTCAGGCAACCCCAATCTGATTCCGACCAGTTCGGCCAACTCGCTCTCGACGCCAACGGCCATCTTCGGTGGATTGGAGGCTCCTCCGCCATGACACTCGTCGATGCCTTCAAGAACATATCCACCGCAGCCATCTCAGGGTCTTCAACTCCCCAGGGTGACGTTAGTCATCCACGTTTCCTTGCAGGTGAAGGCAAGCATCCTGCAAACAACCTCTATTTCCCCCCGAATGTGCATTCAAATGCGAGGCCTCGTGCCCTCCCTGGTCCGGAAGAGGTGGAGTTCCCTCCCAGAGATCTTGCCGATAAATTAGTGCGTTCCCATTTGCCGCACTCAAGTGAACCAATTTCTTTGCTAATGGCTCTTTTCTTCGTAATGTGTTTGGCAGGTGGCCGCTTATTTCACCCACTTTCATCACACACTCCCTGTCGTTGACTCCACTGCCTTTCTGTCTCAATATCGGAGGCTCATGGACGATCACCGTATCCTCTCTCCCGCAGACACTGGCTTTCCCACCGTCGTCTTTTCTGTCTTCGCTTGCGCAGCTCGCTATGTGGAGGATCCCCGACTGGAGAATGCAGAACCAGATGCACATGAAGCCGGCATGGCACACGTATATTATGAACGGTTAGGGGTTTCCCATTCATTTTCATTCCATCGAAATGTATCGCCTTATTCTGTTCTCACAGGGCAATGATCCTATATTACACAGGCCACACGGCTACACAATTGGCACACGTTCAGGCGTTCGTTCTTCTGTCATCTTATTTAGCCTCCATCAACTCGTTACCCCAAAGTTGGCTGCTTTGTGGCCAAGCTGTTCGCATCGCTCAGGACCTTGGTCTTCATGTGAGTTATCATCAGCATTCACACCATGTTATGAATGCTATTTGAGCGGCCATCAACATCTGACTGAGCGGCTAATTCATTATCAGCGTTCCCCCCGACATTTATCCCTCACTCCTATCGACAAAGAGACTCGGAGAAAAGTGTGGTGGTGTGTTTATGGTCTCGACAGGATGCTTGCTGTCGCACTCGGTCGTCCCCTCGGTATCGATGACTCCGACTGTGATATTGAGCTTCCTCTCGATATCGATGATGTGGCTTTACCGACGTACTTTACTGCTGGCCAAAATACATCTGCCAGTCCAAGCAGCGAGGCAGACGCTGCTGCCAAACAACCGAATCTTCCCGAATCCCCTTCGCTCATGAAGGGTTTCAACGCCTTGACATGTTTGTTCAAAATTGCGGGACAAGTTTTGCGGCAAGTGTATGCGATCGATAAGTGTAAAGAGAACTTGGATCCAGAGAAGATGGCAGAATTACAGGCATCTGTCGACCGACTCGATCGTTTGTTGACGGAATGGTGTGACAAACTCCCCACACCGTTCAAATCAAATCCACAGACATCCCAGCAGGTTTCCTTGGGGGCAATTTTATGTTCTTGTCAGTTTATTCTACTGTCCATTGGCGCGGCGATGCAGGATCTCTCGTGCTAACTCGTCCTTCTCCTAGGCTACTATGCTGTAACCGTCACTCTCCATCGTAACTTTATCCCAACGTCTCTTGCGGCATCTTCCATGCCTCGGTCTTCATCCATTCCAAAAGCGGTCACTGCTTCTCGATCGTGTATTTTCCTAGCTCAGTCCATCAAGGACGTTATTCCCTCTTCACATTGGTTGGCTTTCTTCAGCCAATACTTGTTCAGCTCAGCGATCATCATACTCCTTTGTGTGATGCGTGCTACTGATCAAGGAGCTGTTACCACCGCCATGAATGAAGTTGGAACCGCAATCGAATGCCTCGCGTCTCTTGAGGCTTCATGGCCTGGTGCTAAAAAGTGCAAGGAGATCTTGAAAGAATTGGCCGACATAACTCTTTCCAAGGTCAGGGAGACAATTGCCCTGTCATCACCTGCCAAACGGGACCGCTTGACGATCGCAGCCGAGAACATTATGGCGCACTCCCCATCAGCTAAAACAGTCAACGGCGCTCCAAACGCTTCGTTCAACACTCAATCAGCCACAACGGGATCATTAGGTACGCGATGACCTTAACCTTGGCTTTATCAACTGTCAATTGAGCCAGCATTCATCTGTGATAGAGTTGCGGTCCGAAGCACGCCAGCCCACTGCGACGCCTCGAAAGCGCACACTGGGTGCGGCGAATGAGCCAGATGACAATGCGGCAACCCACTTGGCCGGGTACAGCTTGTCACCTTCATCGCCCGCATCCTCCATCCAGCCTCAACATCAGCACCTTTCGACACCCAGTCCTCTCGGTTACGGCCATCAAACTCTGTCATCAAACTTCTCTGATACCATTTCCCCTGATTTAAACGCACCAAAGCAGTACTCTTTCGGGCAGTCGCCGGTCTCTCCCACCACACCGCGATGGAGCACTCCCCACTCCTCTGGCGCAGCATTATGCGGTGACACGCTAGGCCCTGCCGATTACTCGGCGCAGCACAGCAGCTCCGATGGACTAGAAGCGGCTGCAACTCAGTCATATTCTTTCAATCCATCCTCTATCCCTAAACCACAGCATCTTGATTCTGCCTACCTTCCCTTCACTTTCCCTATTTATGAGGACTCTGCATCCAACAACGCTCCATCTCCCGCACACTTTGATCTTTCTGACCTCCCATTTTCGGGGATCGATTTCCTCCAAAGTTTTGCGTCCGTGCCAGATAGTACATCAGGCGTAAACGAGGGAGACCCACACGACTCATTATGGTCTCAGCTCAGTGCATCTCCATTCAAAATGGGCCCGGAACTGCCATTCACTTTGATAGAAGGGCAAAGTTTGTCATGAAAGAACTGCATTTCCAATTTCAAACACAGTAACCCCCCCTTAATCCGCATTCGTTACGAGTATTTTGTACCCACCTCTAAGGTGTTGTCCGTGGTTGATGGTGCCACCTTTCTTTCTGAGTTGTATATGTAATGGAATATTCACAACTTGTCACAACGAGGCATGTGTACTATGGGTGGAGTTGGGACCTCTGCTCTAATCTATGGCTGTTGGTGGGAAAGAGGATTAGAATAAAGGGCGGCAGCACTTCGCTCCATAAGATCGCGCAGGGGCCCGAGTAATCGTGTGAAGGCATCGGCGTCGAGGGCTGCAACCTTTAACGGCCCCTGCTTATTTGTGACCGCTGCTTTGACTGTTGCCGCCCTTGGTGTTCGGTGTAACAACGCCAACTCTAGGAAAACGAGGGCATGAGCCGAAAGAGTGGGATCATATTGTCCGCACTCACCACCAAAGTAGTCTCCTCGTTTGTACCGTTTCACTATCTCTTGAGTGATGCCACCGCTGGGACTTTTGATATTCTTTAGGGCTAGAGCTTCGCCCTCCTCCACAATGAAGAATTCGTTGCCAACATCCCCTTCTTTTACGACTATCTCTCCATCCCCGTACTCACGCGACTGAAGTACATCGGCCAGTTTGCCCCGCTCTGCATCGTTCAGGCTCTCCAGTAATGGGACAGAGGCCAGGAACGCCTCGTAAGATCGACGTGTCCTGGCAGAGATGTCAAGAAGGATAGTTTGAAATGTGACTCGGTCCAGGGCCCACAAAGTGCATGGAGAAGTGGTGATAACTGTGGCAGCACGTTTCGCATAGTACATGAGCGCTAGTTCGCCAAATGTTCCCCCACGCTCATATTGGAAAACTTTCTTCCCATAAACAGGATGCCAATCGGGGGACGTTGTCCCCTGTGATCCTTGGTCCCCATCATTCTTATAGACGTCAAGCGTGCCCGAGTCAACAACATAGAAGTAGTCACCATCATCACCCTGGGTGATGACTGGTTCGTTTGGGCCGAAATGCATTTCTTTCATTGCGCCGAGGACGGCATTCCGTTTCTTGGTATCTAGTTTGCGAAACAGAAAGGCATCGCGGATAGCATCCTCAAGGCGTTTCATTTGTTCCTTAGTCTTCAAGAAAAAGGGCGGGGGACGCTCAGGACCTGTTGAAGGAGAAATGGATTCCGCGGAGACGGAGACGCGTCGCCCAAGGGCAGATGGAGGAGGGCCTAGAAAACCATTGCTTAAACCCAGATTTGATTTTTTCTTGGTCAGAGGATTTAATGGCTTGGCTGGATGCTCGACAACTCCAGTACCGTCATCCTCCTCTTGAATCGTGAGAAATTGACGATGACTTGGTTCGGGTTCCCCTGACGATGGGGGTAATGCAGCATTCCCTGGCACATTTAGAGTACCAAAAGGACTTGCACTGGGGCGACGAGGCGGGTCAACGCGCAATGGAGGAATAGTTGGGGGTGATTTGGCCTCTGGACGTTGAGGCGATTGATCTGCGGCCATAACAAAATCAATTGAGTACAAAGCCTTGAAAGGGCTGAACATTGCATACCAATGGGTCCAACTGATCTAGATGGAAGGGAAAATGGTAGCACAGCGCCCGGAGGGCGTTGGGCAGGGAGTGATGTTGATTGGTGGTGCAGTCCGCCGGGAGCGGAATGTCCACGAGAACGGATTTGCACTGTTGGGGGGAGGAGCCTTGTTCGAGGATATCCCGCACCCGCGTTCGCTGCTCTTGTAGGCGCGCATTAAACCAATTGGCACAAAACTGGAGAGCATCACGAGGCTGCGCGCGATTCACGTCTCTCGTCAAGTCTGCAATAAGGTACTCATAGGTAGACCTAGACAAATTATCATTAAAATAGCCTAGCATCAAGACTGCTGGGGACATTACGTACATTATCGCAAGACGTGGTCCCACTATGAGGAGCAACAAGGGGCAAAAAGTGCTTGAAGTTAAGTTATCTGGAAACTTGCCGTCCACTCGACAAAGGCGGGACCTCCGGAAGCAAAGTTTGGATCTGAGCCACCACCTACTTACCTTGCCTAGGGATTGTGTCAAGCAGCAAGTGGAATAGCATTAGACTGGCGACATGGATGGGCTTAACTCGATCTCTGCATACTTCGCCATTCGGTACGGAAAGTCTAAAGCAATTGGTGAAGAAGTTTGACGGAATTTTATGTATTGTCAGCTTCCCCACATTCACGTATTTCGTTAAGGCGCTCTCCTGCACCATCGGTCGTCGCCCCAGTGCTGCGAATGCGCCAGACCTTATACCTGTTCATGTCGACATAGACCTGGGCCCACTGAAAAGCGTATCTAGGCTGCATGCCCGAATCGAATTTGATGAAGATTACGATGGCTTTGTCATGTATGTGCTTGGTCGTAACGGCGCTTGGGTTGATGGGGATTGGGTACGGAGCGGATCCCGTGTTTTGCTGCATTCAGAGTCCGTTGTTTCACGACCATGAGTTCGCTGTCTCTCTGTTCTCACTTTCCTGTTAATGCTCAAGGTCAAATGTTCAGATAGCCTCCCGATCCTTCCAGTTCCTCGTGGCCCCTCACGCTTCACAAACGCGTACCCAGTCTCCCACGCACGAATCGGCAGTAGATGTCGACGAGGAAATGAGCACGGTGTCATCGCAAGCGTCAGTCCCTGCCCCACCTGCGAGTACTCAGACCGCAGGCGAGCGAGCACACTCTATGGAAGATGCATGTTCTGCGGCCATCGCTACATATGGAGGCGAGGCCTCCATCAAACAAATCACTCAATGGTTGAACGATCAATATGACTGGTTTCGACGTCGGTCCGATAGTCAGGTTCGCATTGACCGAGTTTCTCTTCCCTGGAGCCTTGATCTTTTTTCTACAATTTTTCTACGATTAGGATTTGGTGAAGGAAACAATTATGCACAATCCGCTTTTTGTCAAGGTGAAGGGCATACGAGACAAGACGTCCAAGAGAAAAGCCGTCCTCTTCACCATTAATCAGCAATACTATTCGCAGCACCTCGCTGGGACGAAGGTTCCCTCATTTTGTAATCATCGCATAATAATCAGATCCACATCCATCAAGCAGGAGACCGAGGATGTTGATATAGATGGCGTTAGAGGTAGTCCACCTCTCATCATATCACATCCAACGCAATTCGCTGCAGCCGGGGTTGCTTCTCCAAGCGACGCTGACGAACCACTTCGCCCACAGCAGAATCCTGGGACGGTTTCGCATCCCCTACGTATCTCGATGGGCGATCGTCTGACAAAAGCTTTGGAGCGATACTCCCTGCCTTCCTCGGTCATCCCTCCTGCCCTGAATATCTCACTAGAACCATGCCATTTCTCGAAGAAGGTTCGACTCCCTATACGTGTTGGCGCAAACCTTAGTGGAGCCCCTGACGCTCCAACGTTCAAGGATCAACACATTATACTGCGAGAAGGTGAACTTATTCTCAATCCTAAGGTTTTCTCCGACATTCCAGAGGACATTCTTGCTCGTATGAGCGCGCTTGACACCGAAGCAGTCCTCGAGATCCTGCAAAGCGAAGTCAAGCTATATCTGAAAGAGCAATATCGTGCTGTGAACGGCCGCGGCTCAGGGAAATACTCACGGGCCCAGAGGCATGGACGTGGGCGTGGACGCGGGCGTGGGAGGGTAGATGGGCATGTGGAGGGGGCAGTTGTAGCCAGTCCTCTTTGAGAGAAGCAGAGAACTCTTGGTCGCAACCTGTTTGCCTCACTGAATAATAATAGTTCACTTCAATCACTACCACGGCTTCATATGATAATTTGACACCCAAAAACATTTATACACGAGCTTTCATTGTCCCCATGAAAGCAGCTTTCTCTTCAAAGGTTTGGAATGCACCGTGCTACGATGGACAATTAAGCCATGTACGTGTGAACGTAGAAAATGGATTGATCCACTTACACCAAACTTGGAGCTAGTATCGATGAACTTTAACTGAACCTTTTCGAGATCCCGACGGCTCGTGGGCACCATCAAGGATTTACGTATTGTGGTAACACGCTTCTTGGTGCCCGGGACAGCACCTTTCAACATGAGGAAATCGTTCTTGACAACTCCATAGTGAGGAAAGCCACCCATTGGCGTAATCGTTTTCTGGGTGACATCATGTTCAGTCGAAGCGTTCGCCTTATCATCACCGGAACCTATGCGGTAGATCTTTTTGTTCAGCTCAGTGCGGTGATGGTAACCGTCTACGTTTTGTCATATTGAGCACTTTTGTGATGACAAGTAGTGGGGAAATTGCTTACTTTGACCAGCGCGAGCCACAGAAAACATGACCTTACTGGGATGCCAGGCGCCAATACACGCTACCTTACGGAGCCCCTTGTGAGTTTTGCGGGGCAACTTTCGAGTCCCCCATCGATGGGTTACACCCTCAAAGCCATGTCCTTTTGTCACAGCAATGACGTCAACGACTTCATCTTGCTCGAAGATAGTGCTGATCTCGACGGGCTTCTCGAAAAGCCCATGGGCGAAGGCAACCTTATCAGCGACCGAACCGCCATTTACTTGGATCTCCATAAGATGGGCCTTTTTTTGTTTTAGGCCCGTTTTACGAATTTGAGTGTGGGCAAGGACACGGACAACGGTGCAGTATTTGCGGATGCGTTCTAAGTTAAGGGCAATCGATTTTCCACCATCTTCCGCGTGCTTCTTGGCATACTTAGTGAAAGCCTTTTTCTTGGCAGTGTACCATTTTTTGTAGAATCGGCGCTTCACCTCGTCTGACAAGTGGGTAGCCCAGACAGTGGCGAGAGTGCGGAGACCACGGGGTGTCTCAATGTAACCGACCACACCAACCACTACCATGGGAGGAGTTTCAATAATGGTGACCGCCTCAACGACTTCACGCTTGTGCAGTTCTGGGAGGAAAAGAGTCAATGTAGAGATGCTTAAGGATAATGGTACTCTTACTGGATCCGGGGCGATCCAAATCACGGACAATATGGGTCATCCCCGCCTTATAGCCCATAGCAGCTGTCAAGTGAACTGGTTTTCTGGGGTCATCCTGGGAAACATATTAGTCATTCAATTAGGACGCGATGAGGGGGAGAGGGCATTTGCCTTAGGAAAGGATTTGACCTTGCCACGGTGACGAGACGAGCGCTTTCGCGGAAGGAAGCCCAACGAGCCGTGGCGGGGAGCTTCGTACTAGACAAACGAGACAAATACGTGGGTGACCGAAAGAGATCACTGTTTGAAGCCTGCCAACCTTACGATGACTACAGAGTGACAAAGATTAAACCGTGATCAACGCGCTGACAGAGAGTGAGCTCACCTCATGGGACAGATGGAAATGGTTGAAGAGACTGTAACAGTTTTTCGGATGTTGCCTGCCCATATGTCACATGGTCAATAATTCGTGGGAATTATGTGACTATTGCAAATTCGACTTTAAATTCACATCACATGTATAAATTTACAATTTGACCTCGTGATGCTTGCTTCGATCGTTTGTTCACCCAGGTAACGAGGCCGCGGGGTAATAAAATAGATCCACCACCACCACCCACTTCCTTTGACCAACGGTAGCCTCAGGCGTTGAGCGTGGCCCTCGTCTCCTCCATGCACACTTCCTTTCCGATCTATGCCTACTGCCTGACATGGATAGCCGGTCGTGTTGATCGCGCTGCTGGTCCATTCCATGTAGGCAAGCCTCTATAAGTATAGACATTCCATGATCGGGACGCGATCTATGGTTGATGTCTGACCAAGGATACCGGTGGCGTTTAGCACACTGCTGGTCTATTCGATGACCGGCTTTGCTATATCCTGGTGCTTCGTTGTCTCCTTGTTCAGCTCTTCGAATAGTGAGTCTGCCTGCTTCAAAGCCTCACATACTGGCCGCGTGAACAGTGATTCGTCGAAATCTCGCAATAGGCGTATTATTTCCCTTCACAAGCTCCTCGATAACGCAACATGAGCACTGAATGGTGTCAGTGCGCCAGTAGGAGGTCGATCATTGCGTGCGCAATCGTTTGTCCCTGCGCAGGATAGTCAGTGAAAGCATACTATCATTAATGGGGAGCTGTCTCCGCTTCACTGATTTCGTTTTGCCTTCAGTTCGTCTGCTCCTCGGGGAAAATCGGTACAACACCTCCGGGTAAATCAGCCTGCACGAGAGGTGGATCCAGGCCGTGCAAGCGAACCAGTGCGAAAAGGCAATCTTGGATGGCACAAAGCTCGTCGATGTTGCACACTTTGCCATCGACGAAAAGGTTGTGATGACCTCAAATTAAACATGGATCTGATTGTTGCGAACGGTATTCGTGGTGAAGTTGTGGATCACCCTTGGTCCGAGGGAGGCTGAAACGGCTGGACAGAGGCTAATATGTTTGTTTACAGTGATTTTCCAAAGCCACTGTGTTCCATTCCTCATCTTTTGATGATAGAACAAGCTTCTTCAGTGAGGATAGATGCTGGCCATTTCAGGTTCCATAGCGACAGTGCCCAAGGGACTCGACCCATTCTGGATCCGAGATTCGCATCTGTTCCTTCAAATCACCGCGGTTTTAAATTTCTCGAATAGAATGCTCTGTAGTGCTACCTCAGGAGAATCCGGGGGTGGTGTGGGCCAATATAGTGGCGCAGTAGTTCCCTCACTAGCGGGAGGGAAGTCACAACAGAGAATGACATTTAAACCACCGAAAGGCTCGTCTCGGTGTACCTCATGATGAGGCAAAGAATTGATGAAATTTTCACCACAAATGTTCGTGAAATCATTGCAATGATAACAGCCGGCATTGCCCCGTTCGGAGGGAATTACCTTGCTTGCAAGGTCTAGTCTCAAGCTAATGCGCGAGAACTATAATATTACCTAATGCTAAAGCTATAAGGTAATATACAATGAGTTACAATGTATAAGAAATCAGAGTAAAAGAATATTGTAACTAACCTCAGTCTCAAGCTAATGCGCGAGAACTGAGGGAAAAAGGAAACTAATCCAAATGAATGAATATAGTTTGTGGACTTCGCGGATAAGTCCGAAGTGACCAAAATAAGTAAGAAGAAAAGGTGTTGTGACCAAGTAGTCACGCTACCGCGGGAATGTGGCTGTCTGGGCGAGTTCCTTGCTCGGGTGTGGGAATGTGGCTGTACGAAAACTCGTCCGGCCTCCCATAGCACATGGTTCCTCCAACAAGGTCACTTTCGAGTCCGGAATTCTTAGCATTTTTTCGACCCTCTTTATATTGTTTGTTTTTTCCACAGACCTCACATACTGGCAGCTGTTTCAGCTCTGCTCTTGCTATATCCCCTGTAATCTCTGGCTTGCTTGGATGCAACATGATCTCAATGATTGTGCCATGTGCCCCATTTTCAATATTTCTGACCCTGATGGTGGGTTCTGAAAATACCTACTCCACCCAACCTCTGAACTACTCCATCACTGTTCCGGTTCACTTCCGGTTTGTCCCCTCCCTCACCTCCACCTCCGATCTCCAGTACCTTCTCTGGTACCCCTTATCCTCATCATAGAAGTTTATTAATATTTATATCTACCCAACATTACTATGAACCTCCTAGGACCTCTGCCAACTGTCACAGCTGTGCATTCCAGCCTGTTCCCCACCTGTCCCGATGCTGCCTGAACCCATCCTGCTGTGTGAGTGTGAGCACAAGCCCTGACCCTCATCCCTATTCTCCTTGAGGACCCCCTGCTCACCCCCCTGCTTGCCCCTAGGCTCCCCTGCACCTGGCCGACTCCCCTCCAGCCACACCAGCCTTCCCACCCCGAGTCTGCCTGTTATAAAAATGGGGCCTAATTGGCCCATTGTCAGGGTTCAGCACCCTGCCCTGGGGTGCCCCAGACTCCCCAACCAATCCCTTCCTTCCATTCCTTCATTGTTGCCTTGTTGTTGCCTTTCTGTGTTGTGTATCCGCGCACATGGGATAGTGTGGGAACTTTCTGAGCAAGCAGCTCGCCCAGAATGTTCCCATGGGTCACAGCCACAGTTCTGGGTGAGCAACTTGCCCAGAACGTTCCCACGCTTACTGGGCACTGCCACCTGGATGTTCCCTCCGGGTCACACTACACAACTCTAGGAGCTGTATAGTTGTGGGCATGTGACCCATTCCTTTATATAGCAACCATGTGGGGAGATGAGACCTTTACCCTTCTTCTCATCTCATGCCCCGCATAGTGTGAGGACAGGCCAGATGGGGGTTGAGGTCAGGGAGCCTCCGAGTCCAAGGTTGGGCCCTGACACCCATTTCTATAGCGTCCAGGTGCAGGGAGTGGCCATGACATCAAAATAGTGTTACAGTTAATGTAACAGAGGTCTAACAGTTGTCTTTACAATGACATTAACAAGGTGTGGATTTTTGTGATTGTTGTTGGTTAAGTTGTTATTATTTACATGTTATGTGACATTGTACTGTACATGTTACGGATACGGAGTCTCCAACGACCATATCCGTCACATGGTCAAAGACCCCTCCTCACTATCGTTCCTCCTTTCTTTCTCCCTTTCATCCTCTATCCCGATACTCTATCCTCCTTACCCGTTCTACCCCTTTCCCCCCCCTCGTGCAAAGCTTTCCCCAACTGGGGTTTTGGTGCTGGCCGAGGTTATTTGTGTTTCGCGGGATTTCCCGCGACCTTACCATTTGTAGATAGTCACGCGTCATGTACGGAAACCGCCGAAGGCGGTTCCCGCTAACTAACAACTGCTCTACAACTGCTTCGTGTACCGTCTTCTGTAACAACCCTCCCTGTGACTCAACTGAACTCGTGTGACTGTACAACTCTCAATATGTCTTATAAGTCTGGGTATATCGAGTCCTCTAACGGCCCTCGCCGCGAGAACTCGAGGTCGAGAGTCGAAGACTCTCGACATGTGTATCGTCCTATTGAATCTGTACCCTATGGTTCTTCATCACTACGCTCTCCCCCCAGTACTCAACATACGACATCCCATCACGATCATAGTGATCGCGAACTCTATGAGGCCCCTCACCCGCGATGCCGGCACGTTCGCTACGCGAACGCCAAGTAGCCGCCCATCCGCCGTCTGTTACTTCCTTTGCCAGTCAACATGTGTCCCCGCCAACGGTACGTTCCCCTTGGGAACGCCAAGTCACCGAAGGCCCTAATAGTCAGTCCTCATTGCACGCCTATGATATCAACCCGCACCGGTACGTTCGCACTGCGAACGCCAAGTACCCGATGGCAACTACACGAGGTTCTCGTCCATCCCGCAAGTCGTAACCTCGCACACGGTACGCTCCATTGAGGAGCGCCAAGTACCCGTGGCTGGCCCATCTGTCCTGGTATCTCCGACTACATATCATCAACCCTTAATAGCTCACTACATCACCCATCACGATCGATGGGAATTCGATCGTCCACTCCCGGGCAAGACTCATCGATTACACTTCCAGTTATGGTACAAACTATACATGACCCTCGTCATCCCACTATAAGAACGGATCGAGGAATGGGGAATTTCCCCCATCCCCGTAACATTGGTGCCCCAACCCCGGTGCGAGAAACTCGCACCATGCCACCCAAGACGGTGTCCCTGTTGGGAGACGAACCAGTCACCCCGGCCCAAATGACGCACGAATTGTATCCTCCTTCCCGCCCCACGAGGATTAGTCAGTCAGATCGTAGATCCAATTCAAGAGATACATCGCCAGTAGGCGAAGACGTGCATTCCTCGCCTGGCGCATTCCTACGACAACAAGCTCTCAGGCAAGTCATCGAAGCTCTTGGAGAGTTTGAAGGTGGAATTTTTGAGGAGTCGAATAACTACATGAAACGTATACGAAATTGGCGTCGTCTCGCTCCCGCTGATCTCGAGAAAGAGTCTGTTGGAGCCGGTCTCGAAGGAGAGCCTTTGAGATATCGACTAGGGACCGTCTGGCGGGTCGAGCTAACCGACCTGCTCATGAAAATTACCGAGTTCACCCAGCTAGCCACCAAGGCCAACTTAGCCGCAGGTGATTTCGTAGTGGATCCCCGTGGCGACCTAGCCCTGATATTCACTGTAAGAGGATGGTCGTCGCCAAAGGAGTTCAGTATCGCATGGAACTTCCTAGACCAGCGTCTCAATTCCTTCGAAAAACATTTCGACGCCATCAAGAAAGCTGCTCGTCCTTCACGGGAATTTGACGAGTCGCGCATGAGTGGACTCAGGTTGGCGAACGTCTCGCCCGCCAAGTTTACGGATCCTGGGCAGGTCGAGGAGGCGTGGTCGACCGAAATGCGACCCACACGTCAACCTGAAGCCCTCCCGTCGGGATGGACTACTTTCGAAGATCTCATATCTCCCGCGGAAGAGACCACCTTCGTTCGTAAACGCACCCTACCGTCCAGGGCCTTCCCGGTGCCTAGACCAAGCATTAATGTCGCTGCAGGGATGT